CGTCTTTTGACCGCCCCTTCTTCACAAAAAGTTAGACCCACATCAAATATAACGTCACAATTCCCCCCCTCCCCCCCCCCCATAAAAATTACCCATAAAAATTCCCTGCGTCCACTTCTGTCCTTACAAACTCTTAAGAAATTCACCTCCCGTGGATATCAAATTATTGAACGTGTGTCAGAAACATTTCACTAGATCAATGGTTCTCAACCAGGGGTTAAAGTAACTCCCCAGCCATGACGTGGGGAAGACCAGAAAATGTTATTCAGTGGCATAGCTAGGAGGGGGGGGGGTGTGGATCGCACCGGATGACACCATCTCAGGGGGTGACACCAAATTGAACAAAATTGCATACTTACAGAGCACACATTGCTCGGTCAAACCGAAATTGATGAAAGGATAACAGATGGCACATACATTTTCCACCCATGTAACCAATGTAAAGAAATAAAACTTCGGTAACTTAATATTTTTTTTATATTACAATATAATTTCGACGGTTGGTGGAAGGGGGGAGGGATGTTTAAAACGGAGTGGGGGGGGGCCTGCAACGCTGCAAAAAAAGTTTAGGAAACCCTGTCCTAGAGTCTTTTTTTCCCCCACTCCATCCGAGGAGGCCAGAGGCCATCGGGGTTTCTTCCAGCTATATCTTCGGGGGGGGGGGGGGGGGGNAGTCAGACAGTCAGACAGACAGACTGTCAGACACAAAGTCAGACAGACCGTCAGACAGACAGACAGACATTCAGGCTCCCCCGGGGGAAAATTTCGGAAAGAAACACTGGAGGCCATTCTTCGTACCGCGTATGCCTGTACTGATTCTCTCAGGGATAGTAGTTTAAACATAAAATAATTATAATTGTATACAAGAATAATTGTTAAAATGTCTGAAATTCAGGGTCATTAAGTGCAATTCTTTACTAAAATATAATCCGTTCCATGTGACATCACATTGCTTGAGGCCCCCCCCCCCCCTTTTTCCTCACACATTAGACATCGTCACAAAAATATAACATACCCCCCCCCCTCCCACTAGGCGTGGGACGGCATTTATGGATGGCCCTTTAGATCATATGTGACGTAACACGTTTATAGATATATATATTTTTTTTTTATCATTCACGTGATATAAAAGCTTAAATTGATATTTAACTTTCGTGTTCTGCTGTCTGTGTTCTGAATGAGGTTGTCACATGGTTGTTAGTGGTGTCTAATTTTTAATAGTGAAGTGTGTTTTAGATTGAATTTTGATTAGTTAAAGATTTTATTTTAAAAGTGTGACGTAAGGCGGATTAAGGTTTGTGAAGGGGGCAATGGGGGGGGGGGTAATACATGGTCAAATCAGTGGTTCCCAACCCTTTTTTTTTACTCGCTGAGCCTCTTTAAGAATTAATTTTGTATGATGGAGCCTACTAGGTCTACCCTATGTCTTTCAAGTTAATATATTACAGTTTGAGAACCACTGGTCTAAATCACGCCCATGAGCGCTTTCCCGACCGATAGACAGACAGTAATATAAAATATGAGTAGGCCTACCGATATTAAAAATAGACTTACATTTTTTGAAACTTCTATATTAGTGAGGTAATGCTAAGCGCATTGAAGTTTAATATTAGGCCTAAATTCTAATTTGATAACTACTGTTGAAGCATGCCAAATCATAGACATATTTCATATTACAACATGAACATGGTGGCATACATTGAGTAAATGCCGTCTGGGGCGAATTCCTTAAAATTGCGCCCCCAAAACACATTGGATACATCTTTTATACGAGTGCAGCCATGTGCGATCAACCGCTTCACCAACCCTACACTACTCGGTCACTACTGCATGCATTTATGCTAAATTAATATTTTCTTTTACGAATTATTTATTCTAGTCTAATATTAGAAAAAGTATTAAGTCCATACCATGGGAGGTAGGCAGGAGCCGTCGCGTGAATTTCGGAGTTTCCGTGTCATGAAATTTAAAAGATTTACATTAGATTTTTCCACATCATAACTTTGGACCACATACAATTCCGCGGCCCCCTTACATCTTCAGAGTCACACTTGACGGCTCTGGAAATACGACTTTGGTTACGGGTTACGAAATGTTGTAAACAATGTTCCATTCTATTTATTGAGTCATTGTTACTACCATGTTTACGTGTTTGTTTAATAAATAACAGTTAAGTTTCCATGTTTATTAAAAGAAAACAAATCCTTTAACTTTATTTTAAATGTTAAAATGCGATGAATATGAAAGATAACCTATATCGTATTGTCTCGAGTACATTTTCAAAGTGACCTCCCTTTCCAATGGATTTCATCTCACAGGAATGTATGTTAAAAAAAAATTAACTAAATGTGTTAAATTGGATGCACTGTATGATGAGGAGGGGTCCTACCGACACAGGTCGTACTTTCTGGGGACACCATTTTACGTCCCCTGCATTATACTAAATATGTCTTATGTGTTCTTAAGTATGGACCATCCGTAAATGATGTCAAGATATCTTGGACACCCCACCCCCCCCCCCCCCCCCCCACTATCCATCGTCACAAATTAGTGCCCGCCCCCCCCCCCCTCATCTGTAGAGGCGTGAGTCCATCTATCTATGGCCACGAACATGGTTAGGATTTTGAATAAAGCAAAACATCTCCGGTATCATCCCATTTCTACGGAGGTGTACACAAGTATCCACCACGGCTCTAATTTCTTGCACCCATACACCAGATTAGGACAAATTATTTCAGATTTTCGACTCCATATCCCCATATAGAATCAATCAAATACTCACTAACTAGTTTTATTTATTTCCTTCCATTTCTATTTTCAAATGTATGCAGTTTAAAATATTACATTTAAAAAAAATACCAAATTTTTGTTTAAAGTAAGAGTGCGAGCCCCTGAATAATCTGGAACGCACGTTCAGTTTTGAGCAATCCACCTTCCTTTTCTAACAATGACATAGATTGCTCCTCTTCTGAACATTGACCTACATTGACTTCAAAACCATTTTTCTTTTTCTTTTTTTTTTAAATATAAAAATAAACTTATCTGTTGTTTATCAATGTATTTTCTGCTGAATTGTACACTGAATTGTCTTTTTATTTTCAAGCCTAATTATATCTTGTTCCGCTATGTATTCACAAAGTCTAGCTTCTCTTGTAGCGGTTCCACTGATTAATTAAAGTTAAAAGCAACTCATTGCAAAAGTTCATTGTACTCTACCATAACGGGTGTTGGAAACCTTTTTTTTTTTCAGGCAGCGACTATTCGCACCCGGGTACGAGTTGGGATTAAAAAACTATTTAAAATATTATTGTTGGGTTGTGAGACAAATGAGGTATCAAATGAAAGATAATTGAATGGGCTGTATGTTTGTAAACCTACTTTTCAATACCCGGGTGCGAATGGCGGCGCTGCGTGTCTGGGTCCATTTTGACTCAATGCTTTTCGGATGTCATTTGTGGTAGTTTATTTTAGTTCAACTGAAGAATTAAGTTTACTAAAATATAGTCCATTCAATTATCTTTCATTTGATTCCACATTTTGTCTTACAAACCAAAAAAATAACATTTTAAATAGTTTTTTTTTAATCCCAACCTCTCACTTCTGGTACCCGGGTACGAGTAGCCACTTCGATTACTTAAAGGAAAAGAGCCTGCTATGGAAATACCATGGTCCAGTTTTTTTTTTTTTATAAGGCCCACTAAAATAATTTCTGTTTTGCTGGTGTAACAATGACCTGAAAAACCAGGTCTGCACATCTCAATATGTAAGGCGGGCCGTAATACTTCATGAAAAACTTGTGCGGGCCGAAAGAAAATAGAACAGGTGGGGGGGGGGGGGGTAAACTATTAAGAAAAAAATAAAAAAAAAAAATATTTCGTTACTTCATTTTTTTTTTTTTTTTTTGTTTAAAGGATAGGCTACAAATTATTATTATTTTTTTTTTTTTAAGTTACATTTTTCATTCGGGTTATTTATTGACATTTTTGCCACAAATATAAACACCAACTTTTAAAGTTATTTACATTTTTATTTCTTTAAAGATAAATGCATAAAGTTTAAGTTAATGTGTTTAAATTTTAAATCCTTATATCATCATTGTCCTCAACCATTATGATTCTGGCTATTTGTTGAGAAAGGCCTACAATTCTACACGGAATATCACCGCTGCAATGATAAAAATACCTTTTATAGACCTATACTTGCATACATAGATAGTAATTTAGACATTTATTTAAACTAAAGTTAAAGGGAACAAGATTTAGTTTTGTAAAAGGGAACACGATTTAATTTTATAAAGACTATTTTCCGATAATAGCTTAATGCAGTCGCCCATTTTATCAGCACGTGATTATGGATGCTTCAACGCATCGGTTACTGTACAATTATATTATTTTTGTTGCTATAAAAATATCTGCACTTACAACGTGTGTTACGACCTAGTCATAAGTCTAAACTTAAATGTTTACACGACTATGACAAAGTCAAAGCATTATTCATTATTATATTAACTGTTTGGTAACGGACTGATAGGAACTTAAGATTAAATTTAGATTAGATTCTGATTAAATGATAAACAAATAATATTACACATACACAAAACAAAAATAAATGATAAAAGTGTTCGTCCTAGTAAGACTCAGTCTTAATAATTAGTCTTATTTAGTCTTAGTTAGAATCTAGTCCCTTTTTTTTTGTTTTTTTTTTTTTTTTTGAATATTTTTAATGATTCAAATTTTATACGGCATGATACGGTTTTGGAAAGTATATAAATTTGTTCTTTTCCCAATAACTAAAGATAAAAAGTTCATGAGACATAGTCTAGTTCTTTAGTTTCTTTTACATTAAAAAAATCCACATTTTATGTAACCAAGCCTCGTCTAAACGCACAGTCAGTCAACGAGTGAGCAATGCGATGTCCTGACTGCTAGTATTTAAACATTTCGCGATTTTAGAATGTTTACAGAGGGCGCTATGAATGACGTCTACGGAAAACACTGGTGAAAAACAGACGAGACACTGGGACTAGGTCACTAGTCACTTGTGAATTATATCATAGTGACAAGATGTGAATAATTCTGCAACATATGTACACCCGAATTGTGCAATTTAATTTGCTTATTTAGTTAATTTCACTTAAATGGAAGATAGCAAAAATGAAATTTCCTAGCAGTATTTTCCCGAATAAATCGGGCATGGGAGTTTGTTTTCGTTCAACAAAATGGTGGTCATTTAGCGACAGGACACTTGTTATTGTGTTGGTTTTATGTAAGTTGTTGCCTTCAGCTCATTCGGATGAACCACATTCGTCCCATACCGGTGGAGAGGGAACTAAGGTATATCGCCACGCTCTTATAAATATATCTTTTATGGATTCTGATAAAAACAAGGAGAGAACATTATCGTTTGATGGGAAATTTGGAGTCCATAGTCTCGTATCGGCTATCTCGGGGCCTGTATTTCAAGTGATATCTGAACCCAAAAATAGAAACGGCGGGTTAAACAAAAATCGCTTTGGATGCTCTAAATATGTTAATCCACCATTGACTAGTGAGAATTGGATAGCATTAGTTGAAAGAGGAGATTGCAATTTTTCGACAAAAGTACAAGTTGCAACCAAAGCTAACGCAACAGCCATTGTTGTTTACAATAATCAAACTGCTCCCTCGGAAACAGTTATGGAACACACAGGTATGTCTATGTGCACACACTTGACACATTATGTTATAGAAAGACATATTTTACTTAGTACTGTAACTATGGATACGTAGTAAAATTAGTCCTCCTAATAATTTAAATGTATCAACCCCTCTTTTTATTTTTTTTAATAACTGCAGTTTTCAATCTTTTTGATCCTTCAACTTCAACACACTTATTTCTGATTAACTAATAATTATAATTATTTAAGTCCTGAGCCTCTGAGAGAAACCAAGTTATTTATTTTAAGCTTATACTTAACTTATACATAATTAAACAATATAAAGGCATAGACTTTTATTTCAGATGTGGTGAGGAACAGCTCCAAAGGACATTATTCATTTTAGTTATTTAGTTCCATCTTACTAGCCTATAACTATAAAATATTATAAATATAGGCAAAAATATAATTTTACTTCCAACGAATGTATGCTATGGGTGAGACTGCCGTAAGCCCATTTTTACTTGGTTTGTTTACTTCATTATTAAAATCTCGCACCATGTCTGTAGACACATTGGCTGAATCCGTCACTCTACTTTCAAGTTGCTATATTTTTGTAATTTTTCATTATGCTATATTTTTGTAATTTTTCATTAATTGTTGTCTATTATTGCATTTGATGATGCCAGTCACTTTACAAGCTAAAGCAGTGGTTCTCAACCTTTCTAATGCCATGACCCCTTTTAATACGGTTCCTCATGTTGTGGCGACCCCCAACCACAAAATTATTTTCGTTGATACTGTATAATTGTGGAGTATATGTGTTTTTAGGTGGTCTCAGGCGACCCCTGGGAAAGGGATGTGCGACCCCCAAAAGGGTCGCGACCCACAGGTTGAGAACCGCTGAGCTAAAGGATAGAGTTTTGGGTACATACATTTGAGACCCTTCTGATCATTTATACTTTACTTTATGTAGTACAAAAAAGTAGTAAATTTTTCCATACAAGTTTGATTTATTATAAAAAAAAATATTTTATTTAAAATACATTAAAAAAACCTAGTACCATTTTTCCAGCGTATAAGATGACTCTTAACCCATGAAAATCTTTTCACAAGTCAGGAGTCGTCTTGTACCCCAGGGGTCATCTTATAAGCTGGAACCTAAGGGACAGGCACCCTCTAGTTCCAGTTTGGTTAACAGCTTAGAAAAAAAAACAGCATGGCAGCTCCCATGGGTTTATTGTCTTATCTTTCCTTTGAGCTTTAGAGTGCATTAGGAAAAGTTCAATCCACTTGCACTGTTTTATGTTTACATGTTTTATGACAAACAGCCTTATGTTTAGTAGTGACAGTTTTCCTGCTAAGTACCTGCATGTCATAAGTATATGAATGAAAATTACCATATTGAAGTCAAATCTGATGTTTTTAAATTTGTATTTGTTTTAAGTTGTAAGAGGGGTAGTCTTATACAGCGAGAAAAGCCCAAACCCTACATCAGACCTGTTTACTCTTACGATTTTGGCGTACAATGTACGATTTTGAGGTGTATACATGATTTATACGGTATGTTTATTTTTTTACTATGAAAATGATATATTAAATGATTTTGTGATGATATTGTACGATTTTAAGAGTTTGAAGGTAAACTGGTCTGCTATATTTTAACAGGAAAAATAGGGGGTCGTCTTATATGGGGGAAAATATGGTAAATGATTTTTACAAAGTTGTGGTAAAAAAATTTAGGTTATGAGAAAAAGATAACTTATTCTAAATCTTAAAAGTTTCTATAATTTATTTTATTTAAACCGTTTTTTTGCAAAGTCTGCTTCGCTTGACACAGGTCATGACAAAAGTAAAAGGCATTAAGAATGTTATCAACTTTTCTAATAAATCAATACGAAAATAAAAAATGAGATGTCAAGGTTTTCACCATTTACTTCTTCTGGTGACCCTGTATTTTGTTTTTGGACCGGGCACACTGTTTCTCAGAACACACAACTCTTAGATGATAGCAAATTGGCATATTGCGTCACACACACTTCACAAAATTGTATAATTTTAATTTTGGTTTAATGCTTTAATATTATAAATAGTGTTTTACTATAGATCAAAAAGGTGTTTGTCACTGTGACGGACAGGGGTGGTTCAGGGTAGCATACATTAAGGACACCGACCAAAAGCTCCCAGAGCGAAAGTGAATTTTTAATAAATGAAAAATTTTGAAAGCAGGGATGCATTTGCAGATGCCTGATTTTAATTGTAGAACATTTTACACTTAACAAGTGGAGAGCAAGAGAAGAGATCTTAGTGGACATTTAGATTTTAGAACATTTTACACTTAACAAGTGGAGAGCAAGAGAAGAGATCTTAGTGGACATTTTAATTGTAGAACATTTTACACTTAACAAGTGGAGAGCAAGAGAAGAGATCTTAGTGGACATTTAGATTGTAGAACATTTTACACTTAACAAGTGGAGAGCAAGAGAAGAGATCTTAGTGGACATTTTAATTGTAGAACATTTTACACTTAACGTGGAGAGCAAGAGAAGAGATCTTAGTGGACATTTTAATTGTAGAACATTTTACACTTAACGTGGAGAGCAAGAGAAGAGATCTTAGTGGACATTTTAATTGTAGAACATTTTACACTTAACGTGGAGAGCAAGAGAAGAGATCTTAGTGGACATTTTAATTGTAGAACATTTTACACTTAACAAGTGGAGAGCAAGAGAAGAGATCTTAGTGGACATTTTAATTGTAGAACATTTTACACTTAACGTGGAGAGCAAGAGAAGAGAATTAGTGGACATTTTAATTGTAGAACATTTTACACTTAACGTGGAGAGCAAGAGAAGAGATCTTAGTGGACATTTTAATTGTAGAACATTTTACACTTAACAAGTGGAGAGCAAGAGAAGAGATCTTAGTGGACATTTTAATTTTAGAACATTTTACACTTAAAGTGGAGAGCAAGAGAAGAGATCTTAGTGGACATTTTAATTGTAGAACATTTTACACTTAACAAGTGGAGAGCAAGAGAAGAGATCTTAGTGGACATTTTAATTGTAGAACATTTTACACTTAACAAGTGGAGAGCAAGAGAAGAGATCTTAGTGGACATTTTAATTGTAGAACATTTTACACTTCACAAGTGGAGAGCAAGAGAAGAGATCTTAGTGGACATTTTAATTGTAGAACATTTTACACTTAACAAGTGGAGAGCAAGAGAAGAGATCTTAGTGGACATTTAGATTGTAGAACATTTTACACTTAACAAGTGGAGAGCAAGAGAAGAGATCTTAGTGGACATTTAGATTGTAGAACATTTTACACTTAACAAGTGGAGAGCAAGAGAAGAGATCTTAGTGGACATTTTAATTGTAGAACATTTTACACTTAACGTGGAGAGCAAGAGAAGAGATCTTAGTGGACATTTTAATTGTAGAACATTTTACACTTAACAAGTGGAGAGCAAGAGAAGAGATCTTAGTGGACATTTTAATTTTAGAACATTTTACACTTAAAGTGGAGAGCAAGAGAAGAGATCTTAGTGGACATTTTAATTGTAGAACATTTTACACTTAACGTGGAGAGCAAGAGAAGAGATCTTAGTGGACATTTTAATTGTAGAACATTTTACACTTAACGTGGAGAGCAAGAGAAGAGAATTAGTGGACATTTTAATTGTAGAACATTTTACACTTAACGTGGAGAGCAAGAGAAGAGATCTTAGTGGACATTTTAATTTTAGAACATTTTACACTTAACGTGGAGAGCAAGAGAAGAGATCTTAGTGGACATTTTAATTTTAGAACATTTTACACTTAACGTGGAGAGCAAGAGAAGAGATCTTAGTGGAAATTTAGATTCCTTTGACCTAGATCTATGTATACAAATTCTTTAGTGGTTACCACATAGTAATTATGTGCTATTTTATTTTTAATTAAGATTTGAGATTACTCATTTGAATAGAATTAAAAAGAAATTATATGAAAGAAGGGTCCAAATGCCTTTGAATGATCACAAAAAAAGCACAGTATATTTATTTATATAATAATCCATTAATTTCAAATGCATGTTCATATTTATAATGAAAATAATTGATGAAATGAAATAAGTTTATTTCTTATACATCTGATGGGCCATGAAAATAATTTAACTAAGAAATAAGTTAATTTCTGATACATCTGACAGGCCACAATATTTAGCGTACTTGACAGCTGGTCACAATATTTAGCTTACTTGACAGCTGGCCACACTGCTATGCACCAACACCAGGACTGCATGGCACAAGACAAATTACAGAGACAACACAATAACTGTCAATAACACCCCACTGGATGCTATGTCAAGAGTTTGAGTACCCAGGGCTCAAAGTCAGATGGGGAACTGACAAAAACATCAGTGCAAAACAGGCTTCCTTTTTTTTAATGTTGACATTTATTACAAGATCAACTAAGCAGAGCATCCATGTCAAGATGAGAACATTTAGAAGTAATGTCTTGAATGTTCTGCTCTAGGAATCTGAGTAGGAGGAGATGACTAGCATATGAGAACAGAAACTGATTATTTTTAGACCAGGTGTCTGCAAATGATCTATATAATAATCAGGCCAAAGACAATCTCCAATGGAACGTTGCATGAAAACTTGATATACGCCACTAGTCAAACCAGTTAATTGTGCGTACATACCAGTCAAAAAGAGTATAATTTTCTTTTTAGATGTTAACTTGGAAAATCTCCAAGTTTTATGATACTTGTGGATGTAGAACTGGAAAATGAGTTGGCAACAGCGACTTGATTAGCTGCTAGCTTCCTGCTCACTGTCCTATGGCTATGCTGAATAACACAAGAATTGCCCTATCAGAAAATTTGAACTGCAGCACACCTGCAATAAATATGTATGAGAGGGATCAGTATAGGTCAATAATTTGTCAATATGTCAAAGTTCTATAATTTTAATTGATAATTGTACGTTTTTTCCTAAATTGATCATTTCCAATTTCCCCAGCATCCTCTATAGTAGCAGTCCTCATCACAAGAAACGATGGACTCCAAATGATGGAATATCTGGAGAAGGGCATTGCCGTGACCATGCACATTGGTGTCGGCAAGGAAGGGATGTTGACCACAGTCAATCACAACAGCATCAGCAAGACTTCAGTCCTCTTTGTTTCAATTTCATTCATCGTTCTGATGATCATCTCCCTGGCCTGGCTTGGATTTTACTACATTCAAAGGTTCCGTTACTCACACGCCAAGGAGCGACTAGCTGTAAGTTATTGAACTTTTATTACATTTAAGTGCAACCAAACTGTTGGTGGTAGTCAGTCCTGTGGATATGGCAAAAGAACAATGAGTTCAATGAAATTTCATCTCGCTGTTTTAAATCAACTTTAAGTAAATGCTCATTTTAAATACTGGGTAAGAGACGTAAACCACAGGAGTGGGAAGATGTTGGTATTAAATGCCATCTGTTAAATGCCATCTGTTAAATGCCATCTGTATTAAGTATTGTTGACTTATCAGTTGATGACTGCTGTCTGAAAAATTCCCTAACATTCAGAAATAGAATATTTTTATGTTGTAGAAGATGCAACTACGTGCAGAATGTATTTAGGTCAGAAGTAAAAAAAACCTCTGATATAGGGATTGGATAGATACAGAGAGAAGTTTAAGGGAACATTTGGCTTGTAAGATCAGTTAGCCTGTCCACTGTATATTAAATAGAATGTTGATTATGAACACATAGGCCGTAGCCTGTCCACTGTGTATTAGAATAGGCTGTTGATTATGAACACGTAGGCCGTAGCCTGTACACTGTATACAAAATAGGAAGTTGTTTATGAACACATAGGCCTTATCCTGTCCACTGTATATACAATAGAAACACGTAGGAGGTCCACTGTTCATTAAATTAGGAAGTTCATTATGAACATGTGGCCCAATGAAATAGTAAGAGCAGGCAAACTCAACTTGACTGTGAAGTGGTCCAATAGCTTTGACATGCCAGTTTCAGCAGGTCAAGTTGCTTACTTAACTAACCTATTACAAATGTCTGCACCATCCTGCTACGATAAATTTCCTGATGCAATGCCCAATGCCAATCGTTCAAATATAATGTCTTTTTTTAAAATGCAGTCTTCTTCCTCCACCCTCCCCCACTATCTATATTTTCTTATTCTCTCCCCCCTCCCCCCCCTCCCCCCCCCCCCCCCCCCCACCCCACCCCCCCCCCCCCCCCCCCCCCCTCTCCACCCCCCCCCCTCTCTCTCTCTCTCTTGCCTATCTTCAAGCACAAGAGAAAACGATTTCAACCTGCTCCTGAGTTCTATCAATACTGCAAGGCAAATGCCATCAGTAATATTGAACATCCTGTAATATGGACAAACGAATTAATCCGCCGCTAACTGATGATCATCATCATTTGACTTAGAAACAACGGCACAGCTCTATGTATTTAAGAACATTAAAAAACATGCATTATTTAGAGTCGTGTTGGTGTTTCTAGTTGGCATTCTTGAGTCTGCTTCACCTCTAGCAAACCTACTCCCGGCTGTGCCATAAACCAAACATAGCAAAACAGCAGGGAAGCTTTGAACATTATTAAGATTTGGTTTTCATAGAACAACCTAAATGCAGAGCAACCTTTACACAGAACAACCTTTACACAGAACAACCTTTACACAGAACAACCTTTACACAGAACAACCTTTACACAGAACAACCTTTACACACAACAACCTTTACACACAGCAACCTTTACAGAGCAACCTTTACAGAACAACCTTTACACAGAACAACCTTTACACAGAGCAACCGTTACACAGAGCAACCCTTACACAGAGCAACCTTTACACAGAGCAACCTTTACACAGAGCAACCTTTAAATTAATTCTATTGTTGAAATATGTCTATCAATAAGGTTAAGAAAACCAACTCAGAAATATAAAGGGGTGTAGTGGCGTTTTTGGCTGTTTTGTTGCCGGGGGGGGGGGGTGGTTCTGATTTTGGGAACACTACTGTAAATGTTGGCGTACGTGTGACTAACTTGAGTTGAATCATCAGTGCTCTTACTACTTGTTCACCACTCGCACTGCGGGTACCTTGCACGGCCCTGCACCGATCACTTAATCATAATGATGTTCCGTTGAGTGTGTCAGGATGGTTGGAACTGAAGCAGACGTGATGTCGATGATGAATCGATCAATGCATTGACCTGAGCTTCAACATCACGCCTGCTTCAGACGTGATGAAGCAGACGTGATGTTGAAACTCGGGTTGATGCATTGATCGATTCATCTTTATATGGTTCACGAAGTTGCAATGATGGACTGTTAGTAGGTTATGAATGTTGAAACGGAGGCAGACAGGATGTTTAAACCCTTGGGTTGATGCATCCGTCTGTTCATGGGTACATGGGTCTCATAGTTATAACTATATATTGATCTGTTGGTAGATTCTCCTACTGGTAGGATGTAATGACAAAGAGCGCGTTACTGTTATTAACGTCTGTGCATAGTTTATAATGATGTCGTTCTATGGAGTTGATATATAATATTAATTGGATGCTAGGTGGTCAGTGCTCTCTCTATCCCCCCCCCAACCCCCCTAAGTTTTTCTTAATTTTCAAGGGAAGATCAAATGAAATTGCCGATTGTTGTGCTAAATGAGATTCTTTTGTTTTTCTAAAATAATGTTGATGGAATGAATCAACTGCGCAAAAACGAGTGCGAATTTGAATATTAAAATAGTTCATGGCGTGAAAATGAAAAGTGCGGTTGCGAGCTCGGGGAAGGGGGAGCACTTATTTGAATTATTATAATCTTGTGTGCGTGTTTTTCTAATTTTTTAGTCCCCCCCCTCCCCCCTTTTTCAATTCCTCGATATTACATTTTATGAAGGATGTATAAGAAAAAAATTGAAAGCAGAGATCTACATGATTGTTATTTTCGTAATTAGGTTCATGAATATATAATTGACAGCTAAAAGGCGTGGTTTGTCTATTTAATGTGTTATATTTATATTTTCTAATGAATGAAAAGCACAAGCCACAGGTATTTTCTCAGCACCTGGTTCAGCTATTTTCTCAGAACACCATTCTTCTATCCCCCCCCAGCACACCATTCTTCTATTCCCCCAGCACACCATTCCTCTATTTCCCCAGCACACCATTCTTCTATTTCCCCAGCACACCATTCTTCTATTTCCCCAGCACACCATTCTTCTATTTCCCCAGCACACCATTCTTCTATTTCCCCAGCACACCATTCTATTTCCCCAGCACACCATTCTTCTATTTCCCCAGCACACCATTCTTCTATTTCCCCAGCACACCATTCTTCTATTTCCCCAACACACCATTCTTCTATTTCTTCAGCACACCATTCTTCTATTTCTCCAGAACACCATTCTTGTATTTCTCCAGCATACCATTCTTTTGTTTCCCCAGCACACCATTCTTTTATTTCCTCAGCACACCATTTCTCTATTTCCCAGCACACCATTCTTCTATTTCCCCAGCACACCATTCTTCTATTTCCCCAGCACAGCATTCTTCTATTTCCCCAGCACACCATTCAACTATTTCCCCAGCATACCATTCTTCTATTTCCCCAGCACACAATTCTTCTATTTCCCCAGCACACCATTCTTCTATTTCCCCAGCACACCTTTCAACTATTTCCCCAGATCTTATTTCTGCAGTGAGAGCACAACAGCATCGGGATTACCGACACGTCAATCTGAGCTAGATTTATGGCGAGCAGTTAGGTCGACTTCTTTACTCTTTCAGTTCCCAGCTTTTATTTTCTACGGGGCGCGTGTGCTGAGAGATATAGAAGTATTCCCAGACTATGGCTAGTCTCTTCCTCCCAGCTCCGGCCAGTGATGCCACACAGTCTGAGAGAATGTCACGAATTCAACTACAAATCGTACGCCCCCCCCCCCCACTCACACAATTTTTGTCCCGGCGTCATATAAGAGAATCGTAATGTGTTGTAGGCTGATCTCAAAACTATTAATACAAACTCTAACTGCTGTGATCATTAGAAGCCACACAAGCTGAGAGAATGTCCCCAATTCAACTACAAATCGTACGCCCCCCCCCCCCCCACTCACACAATTTTTGTCCCGGCGTCATATAAGAGAATCGTAATGTGTTGTAGGCTGATCTCAAAACTATTAATACAAACTCTAACTGCTGTGATCATTGTATAACCTCCACTCGGATAAATGATAATGCCGGAGAAAATGGTCTCTTGTAAACAAGACGGAAGAGTGAAACCAAAGTATGCATGTTTGACCATTTCGACTCCGACTTGTTTTCCTTCTTAATTGCGTGCAATGGCTTTCGGGCAGAATTCACAACAAGATTGCCATATTCTAATTGTTCTTTTTTTAACAAATATTTGTAAAATATTATATTTCTCAAACTAACGATTGCTGGACCATGTGCCCGCCCCTTATTTCTTCCTTTTTTTCTCCCATTCCCTTTTTATGCGCTTTCATTTAGCTTTCAAATTTGTCGGCGTGTTTGTCTGGGTCAAATTTTTAAACTCAATTTTCGACCTATTCCATTCGGCCGATGTTTTATGTTTCTCAATCTCGGTGACAATACAACCTTTCATGATCAGTAGGTCAGCAAAGCCCCCCCCCCTCCCTCCCCCCACCGGCCCTTGAGTGACCACTGCGGGGCAAATCTTGCATCTCAATTTTGAACCACTTCTGGTTCTCCAGCTGAGCTAAAACGTTGCCCACTTACCCACCCGGATGCAATACAACCAGCCGCCCATACAGTAGGAGAAATAAATGATCAAAAGACTAAAAACTAAAAAAAAAAACCAACATATTTTAATTAAAAAATTGTTAACAACACGATTTTATTAAAAATGCACTAAAAGGTACGAACTAATTTTTGAGACACACCGGTGTAATCTTGCCATTATTCTTGCCTACAAAGGTAAAAGCGCGGGGGCAAAAAATTGAAGGAAATTAGCCAAACCAAAAACGGAGACGTGTTTTCCGCCATTTTGTGTTTTTCTTTGATGTTGTGGATCGTAACTTTTGAGAACAAAAAGATTCTTAAAGTTAGCGTCTGTAACACAGAGATCATGCTCCGAACGTCATTCTGTGTGAAATTAAAAAAAAAGAAAAGAGCTCAACAGGTTTCTCTTTAATGATGAGAGTTTTTTCTTGCAGCATTTCCTTCCATGTCTGGGGCCCACGGTTTTTAGTTTTGTAGACATGATTAATTAAAAAAAAAATTCTGGTTTATTATTCTTTTAAAACATCCGGGTTTGCCTCAAAAAAAAAAATTGTACTTTTAAATACGTTTTAATAAAAGCATGTTTTAAATTTCATTAATTTTTAAAAATATTTTTTTTTGCGGATCAGAAAACAGAACAAATATCTTGTCACAAATTGCACCCTGCACATACGTTTATTTATTCTAAAACTAAAAAAAAAAAAGAAAAATCTAACTTTGAATCCTGGTAAGAACGAGGTGTGTGTTCTTGACATAATGAACAACCCGAACACCGAATGCTGGTTGGACACACTTTGGAAAGTTCAATTATTTAACTTGTTCTTTTGTTGACAACTCGTTCAGCAGCGTTGCTATTGTAAACAGTGCACGTCCACGTTTGTTAACAGCGCCCGTTCACGCTTGTAAACAGTGCCCGTCCACGCTTGTAAACAGTGCCCGTTCACGTTTGTAAACAGTGCCCGTCCACGCTTGTACTCAGTGCCCCTCCACGCTTGTAAACAGTGCCCGTTTACGTTTGTAAACAGTGCCCGTTTACGTTTGTAAACAGTGCCCGTTCACGCTTGTAAACAGTGCCCGTCCACGCTTGTACACAGTGCCCGTCCACGCTTGTACACAGTGCCCGTCCACGCTTGTACACAGTGCCCGTCCACGCTTGTACACAGTGCCCGTCCACGCTTGTACACAGTGCCCGTCCACGCTTGTAGACAGTGCCCGTCCACGCTTGTACACAGTGCCCGTCGACGCTTGTACACAGTGCCCGTCCACGCTTGTACACAGTGCCCGTCCACGCTTGTACACAGTGCCCGTCCACGCTTGTAAACAGTGCCCGTCCACGCTTGTAAACAGTGCCCGTCCACGCTTGTAAACAGCGCCCGTTCATCGCCGCCGTTGTTGGCTATTTACCAAACGGACGTTCTATATTTAGCCGGGCTTAACAGTGCATTCTGTGCGCTAACTAGATCACGCACGTAAACACGATACCTATTTAGTTATTTAAGTCCGTAGACAGCCTAGCAAACGCCGAACTGAGAAGTTGTGTCGAATTGGATTACACAACGTGGTGGAATGTTAAACATCGGCCCATGATGTCAAACAAATCGCTGATGGTGTACATACGTAGTGATAGTAAAGGGTAAAGACAAGGGTAGCTTCTAGAGGACTGTCGACGGGGTTTAGTGGCCTGCGACTAGCCACAACTTACAGCTCTCCGAATGCATATTGCTGGTCACAGGTAGTCTAGCTATGAACAGCGGCACTCGCATGCCCAAACACCAGTAATATCGTGCTCTGTACTTGTTTTTTCACGAGAAATAGTGCCGAGCCACGTATTGGCAATGCAAAGTCTCTTTGCATATTGACAGTCCTAATTTACTTAACATTATGATGTTGCATGTTGACAATGCAAAGACATATACACCTAGACAATGCCAAATCACATATAGACTGTGTCAATGCTGAGTATTATATTGACGTTTTTTTTTTTTTTCTCCATTCCGCGTTAAATTCAATTTTTTTTTTTTTTTATTTTCTGTTTTTTTTTATTTTAATTTTTTTTTTTTTATTTTATTTTTTTTTTTTTATTTTCTTTTTTTTTTTTTTTTCTTCATTTCGCTTTAAATTTAATTTTTTTTTTTTTAATTCATGCTTTTATTTAATTTAATTTTTTTTTTTTAAATTATTATTATTTTTTTGAAATGTATTGTAATATTATACTATATCAGTTGTGTTGACGCTACTAGCTGCACGGCAATTAGTTATTTTTGCATACATATAATATATCCTGTTTCTTTGTATACAACCTGCAAACGAGGCCGTAATGATCGCCTCCCTTGACAAGTTAAGAAATGTTGGTAACCTTATTATTGTACAATAGTTATGTGGCGTGGTATGTCACTCTGATAATAGACTCGAGGCAGCTGTTTTTTGTTTTTTTCCGATGGGGCCACCACAAAAAGATCATCTCATTAATACAGACGCTATTTTTTTTTTCCTGTTTGTTTTGAGTTAGTGAATTGTGACACACTTAGACTCAGGAGGCCCCGGTCAATAACCCCACAGTGTTTGCATAGTTGTTATGGTTTGATTGAAACCGTCACGGGGTAGTTCCAAAAGTTTTACTGCGTATGTTTGCGTATACGTTTCTAGCTGCATGCTTGAAGTACACAACACCGGACTCACTGATGTCTGTAACGCTGATTCTGTTGTCTCGTCCTCGCAGTATTGACGTGTCATTAGGTCATCTTTTCCTGTTTTGATGACTTCCGTCCTTTGTTCGGCTTGTGTGTGGAAACATTTCAATTTGTTTTGGGGGTGGTGTGTAGTGCTAGATAAAACAATGCAGTAGTTCGTAGTGGGATTTCGTGATATTTGTTTAGGGGGGGGGATGATTAGTAGGAGGTGACATAGATCGGCTAAACTTATATGCACAGCCGGCAAAGCCCTGAAATAAATTTTAACCCATGGCAATACGGCTGTACTTTAATTTGACTTGAGATATTTCGAAAATGATTTTTTAAAGAAAATGTCATTTTTACTGGGGTTTAGGGGCTAGGGGGCAGTACCGGTACTGAACTTTCGTATATTTCTTGTCCCGCCCTGAGCGGCACTAACCCTATCGTTTGTAGGATGATGGTAGTGCCTATGTGATGGTTCTACCCAAGTAACACACTTTCTTGAGAGTTGCACTCGGAAAGTGGTTGTGCATACATATGTTTGTGTGTTAATGTGTGAAAATAGTTGAAGATGAACTTTAATGACGCTTAAGTTTGATAGAGACTACGACTGAAAGCAATGACAAACTATTTGAGATTGCAGGCGTTTAACCTTAGACCATTTTTGTATATATCTATCTGATGTCATCTGATTCTCCGCCTAGGCCGTATGTCACATTTGATTAGTTTTTAACACGGGAGAAATGATTGGTCTTTTATTAAGATTCAGACGCTGGTGTACGAGGACACGTGTCCGTTTCGTCTTGAAAAACTGTTCGATTTGGGCTACCTGGCCTATTGGAAAGAGTTGTTTAACAGAGCCCTTAAGTTCATGTTTTTTTCCTGCGGTGTATAGAGGAGCATCATACCGTTTTTTTACTCACACCGAGCCACTCGCGTAACCTACTGGGTAAATCCAATATTTCTAGTCCTGAGAGTGTAAGCCCACCCCACCCCCCGCCCCAATTTCCATTTCCTTCCCTCTTATTCTCTGACATTCTGTGGTTGAATGCAGTTGTTCTCAAACTTTTTTTACGGCCACCGCTCCCTTGGCATCATACACCCATCCCTAGAGCCTCTGTATACCCAAAAATGTTTTGATCTAGGACAGTAGTAACCACAGCCTCTATAAGGAAGATAATAACACAAAATCAATAGTGTTTTAGGTAATTGGACTTGTAATTAAAATATAAACATCTGTCAACTTAATTCAGTAATAGTTTGATCAACTTGATCCATTAATACCCCATGTTAAAAAAAAAAAAAGTTGGATTACGATTAGGAAAACCTCCGCATTACGACCTTTAAATTGCCTTTAAAACGAGGTCGTAAATCGGAGGGGTCTTAAAAAAGAGGTAGGACATTTTCGAAAAACGACATTTAGAAAATTAAATAACAAGTAAAAAAAAAATACGTACCATTAAATATAGACAATATCTACCACCTTTCGTTCAGAAATGTAGATTAAACTCTGTCTCACAACCAATACAGTCACTATCTTCCTGTTTCTCATTAATTCCAAAATAAAAATCAATGCTGGTGTGGTAGTTGTTTTAAAGCGTGTATTAAGTGCTGAATGCATGCTTAGAGTTAGAACTATTTTTGTTTAAGATACGCGTATTAATATATTGATTTAATTATTTTTATTCAATCATTGAATAGTTTTTTTGTTGTTGTTGAAAAAAAGCTGTTATTTCTGTTTGTTTGCATGATTCCCCCCCCCCCCAACCCGTTCACGTTCTTTTAGTAGGTCATCTTGAACACCAGACATTGTGTCGACAAGGTTTGAAAGGCCCCAGCTCAGGGCAACTAAATATATTGATTTAATTATTTTTATTCAATCATTGAATAGTTTTTTTGTTGTTGTTGAAAAAAAGCTGTTATTTCTGTTTGTTTGCATGATTCCCCCCCACCCCCAACCCGTTCACGTTCTTTTAGTAGGTCATCTTGAACACCAGACATTGTGTCGACAAGGTTTGAAAGGCCCCAGCTCAGGGCAACTGTGGTCAGCCCCTTGTGGTATTTCAAGGCAGTGGAGAAGTTGTTGGTGGTTCTTCATCTTTCTCATTCTCAGTGTGACTGAGCTGGTTACCTACGTGGGAAGAAGAAACCTGACCGTCGCTAGTAGCAGTGACACAGGTGGCCTGGATCTTATCATAACATAAGGCAAACTCCTGAAAGGTGCACCCATCAAGCACCCTCTCCATGGCTCCCTCCAGTGTGGCCACTTCTGCAGGCCCTTCTTCATGCAGGATCAGCCTCGGTTTCAACACCCTGCACTACTTCCAAGCTGCTTTAGTGCATCGCCTGCTGTTAAAAAGTTGTCAACGAAACTGTTTCCTTCAAGCGCACAAACATAGCCTTGCTTTGGGATCGGACTTTTTCCAGGTGCTAGGTCGTAAAATTGAATTATTTTAAGGTAACAAGTCGCGTTTAAGAGGGAGTCGTTTAAGAAAGGTCGTTTTTATAGTGCAAAGCATCGGTGCATTTTTTCCGGCCCTATTTTGGAGGAATTCTTTTAAGAAAGGGTCGCAAAACGAAAGTTTTACTGTAGTAACTTAATCTACGTCGCTCGTTAATGATTATTGAATGCCTTGGATGGGACTAGTAAAGTGAAAGCATTTCTTCATGTCTGGTTTATGTTAACTGCAACAAGACTCTTTAACACTTTCAGACAGACATATAGATTATATTTCTTTGCAGAACGGAGATTCATCTTTGCCTATTTCCAAAGTGCATTATATAAAATTATAATGACATGAAATTTTGTTCCGAGACCGAAACTCTAAGCTGTGAATTACCTATTTTTAAAATAACCAAACTCATCTGTAACTGAAATTAAAAATGGATTTATCGCTCAATCTAAAAGTTCAATTAAAGAAGATCCTTAAATAGCCCACTGTTACGCACTGGCTTCTATTGTGAGAAATTAGTCTCCTATTTTAAATGTATAGCTCGTTCAAACAGTGCCTAACAAAGGACGATACCATAGAAAAATACAATAACACATGTACGACACCCAAAACAGTACCAATTACAATTAATAAGATTTAATTTAGTTATAATACAATTACAAAAACAAAGGAAATATCATTACAAATCATCAACTTGGAGTATGGTAGATCTTGTACCGGTACACAGTCAACACAGTTAGTACAATGTGCCAATGAGTAATGATGAATGATCAATGCGAATCAACACATTTAAGTACACTAAGAATCATACACGTCTCGTGAAGTTAAAAATATCTCAATCTCCGTCCTCTCTGTGTCTGTCAATCATTTATACATGTGGGTCTACCGACGCGTCTAGAAACGCCCTTACTTTTCTAATACAACCGAGAACCTTCGACAAGATACTAGTAGACATACTAATCATGTTTAATTGGAAGTCGGTAGTAAACACGCCGCATCAAACGAATAGGCCACGCCCATCTATGAACGTAGCGTGTGCTAGGGTTCAAGCAAAGTTCACGCACGGAGAAGTGTCATACATACATAACACCCACACAAATAGTATGTACCATATTCAAATGGCCTCATTATATTTAAGCAATAGATTCACTAAGGGTAAGGACCACACCGAATGACACCATCACAAGGGTGGTGACACCAAATTGAAAATTGCAAATTTGACAATTTCGCTCGTCCATTAAAGAATGAACAGGTGTCCTCACCAAACAGAGCATTATCTTCTGAGCAGGGTGTCGCCACAGCAGATTGCCATGAGAACAGGGTGCCCTGAGAGTAGATGGCCACGAGATTACGCGTTGCATATAGCTCCGGTTGCACAGAGAACAGGTTGCTACCAGAGCAGGCAGAGCCAGCTAGGTCCATGGTGAAGTCAGAAAAGGAGGGTGACACCATGGGTTTTATATAAAATGAAATAATAAAAAATGGGTTCACAGGATTTATATTTGAAAACAATGTTTGTAAAGGTTGTTTATTTCTCTATTAGGTCCGACGTGCTTGGGTATCGCTAATGAGCAGATACGAAAGTAGAGATTATTCATTTGGTGTTAATAAGATTGACGCGAGCTTACAGGCAGTTTAAATTGATTTAATTGAAATCTGAAACTATTTCTGGCAACAGCTAATCTGTGTCTGATGAAGTTTGGGTCAGCAGTGGCCGGCACCGAGATAAGCAGTTGTATTTTCTGTTTTTAATTCCACTGCGTCAAATAGCTGCTTAAATAAACTCACCCCCCAAATTGTGAAAGTCAATAATTTTCAGTTTTTAATCCACCAGATGTTGACGATGAATGAAACAATTAAAAAACTACAGCTATTAAGTACTTTAAATTTAAAAAAAACACACAAAAACAACAAAAAAAAAAAACGTTACCGCCGCCCTGAAACATACTGACCCACTTTGAGAACCACTGGTTGAATGGATCGGTTCATTCATTTTAATTCACAGTATACATTTACAAGGAAGACAACGAATTCATTATTACAAAATTTATCAGCATAAATGTCTTATTATTGTGAATGCAATTATAAAGCATTGTTAGATGTGGTAAATATTTGCATTGATGATTGTATCCGTTGCCTTTAAAAATGTCAAAAGCTGATTGAAAATGATCTAGATTGCCCCAGACTAGGTCCTGAATACCATAACGTGATTTACTTCCTTATATATACTCTGTCTGTGGTATTTTATTTACCACTATCGACTGCATTTATTACAGAATTCAGCAAAATATACATCTATTCTAAGCCGTACTTTTATGTAAACCATTTTATTTTATTATCATTATTAAAGTTCATTATTGTTCATACTATATAAAGATATATATATGAGTTGTTTAAATTTTATATTAAAACCTATATATATATATATATATATATTTATATATGAGAACCATTGTTGTTGAGTTATCTTTTACAATGTTATTATTATTATTTACCGGAATTACCTGTTAATTTTTTCCCCTCCTTTTTCCTCCCTCTACCAGAGACGTCTGGCCTGTGCTGCCAAGAAAGCTATCGCCAAGATTCCACAGAAGACTATCAAGTCTGGGGATAAGGTAAGAACGCCCGCAGCGTCTAGTGAGTCCTTAGATCAGTCATGTTCTCTGTGGTCTCACTGCTGGATAATTAGCTCGGCCGTGCCGATGACTTGTTGTACACAGGCGAACCACTTTTCTCTGTGTTTTGCTTATCTAAGTTCATCAACATTGGCAATGTGCCCAATTGATATTATTTTTTTTTAAAGTGGATCACCGGTGCAGTGCTAACGGAGCCTAATTTGTTTCCGTGTGGCTTGGAAGGTTTTGTCACTCGACTTGCTGGAAGTAATTGATGCTAAGACACCTTGAAGGACGGGGTACGAGAACTCTGCATCAATATTTCGGGCTCTGCTTTCAAAAAGAAAGAAATGTTCACATTTAAACCCCCTGCTGTGTGGCCTTGTTTTTCATTTAGATTTAACCACTCATTTTTTGGGTGTTTTACGTGAAAGCGAGAGGCCTGAAATTATGTCTAGCCCTGTAGTTCAACTGTTCTTGGACACCAGAGTTCCCTGAAATTATGTCTAGCCGTGTAGTTCAACTGTTCTTGGACACCAGAGTTCCCTGAAATTATGTCTAGCCGTGTAGTTCAACTGTTCTTGGACACCAGAGTTCCCTGAAATTATGTCTAGCCGTGTAGTTCAACTGTTCTTGGACACCAGAGTTCCCTGAAATTATGTCTAGCCGTGTAGTTCAACTGTTCTTTGACACCAGAGTTCGCTTTAAAATAAAAATGAATAAATTATTAAAATAATTAATTTTTTGTTGCTGGGTTGTGGGGGTCTTAGAACATGGGCGTACACCATGACTTTATGGTGTTACTAAAGGGGTAGGCATGTAGACCTCTTTAGATCATTCTGCAAAACCTTGACCCAGCGTGACATGGCTTGCGTCTAAATAGGAATTGACTTGGCTATTTGGAAGCAGGTAGTGCTGAGGGATTTTCCCAAAAGAAATAATGGAAAGGTTAGGATGAGATCACACGGTAATACCACAACCATACTTCTTTAATGCACGTTGATTGGTCTGTGTCTTTACATTTCACAATCATTAGAAACAGCAGTACATGACGAGATCACATACACATACAGTAATACCCTAAAAGCCATACATGCTACAATGATAATTTACGCCTCACAAATTACAACACTACCTGCGCGTGCATCTCTTAACTTATTGACCCCATGTTTCTGATAACAAGACACAATGTCAACTACCTAATTTTTACTCCACCCTAACAATCCTTTGAATATAATAAATCTAGCTGTAGTTTTTGAAAATAATGAAAATACAGAAGTTTTTTTAACATGTGAATTGTGAGTGTATTGTAATAGTAATAAATCTAATGCTGCCAGTGGAGTACACTACTTTAAATATGAAACCCTATTCTTCCTGTTGCAAATATCACCTGTCATTTAAGTTTCTCTGTTTCCCCGTTAATGATTAATGCGTCTTCCATTTAGCAAGTGGTGTTGAGCCACGTCCACTGGAAAACTTGTGTCAAAGACGGACGTGGTTTGTCTTATGTAGATAGTCCAAACTCATGGACGGGGTTAGTCTTATGTAGATAGTCCAATCCCGTGGACGTGGTTTGTCTTATGTAGATAGTCCAATCCCGTGGACGTGGTTTGTCTTATGTAGATAGTCCAATCCCGTGGACATGGTTTGTCTTATGTAGATAGTCCAATCTCATGGACGGGGTTTGTCTTATGTAAATACATCAGTCTCATGGACGGACGGGATTTGTCTTATGTAGATACACCAATCTCATGGACGGGGTTTGTCTTATGTAGATAGTCCAATCTCATGGACGGGGTTTGTCTTATGTAGATAGTCCAATCTCATGGACGGGGTTTGTCTTATGTAGATACATCAATCTCAGGAGAACTTGCGTCATAGACAGACGTGTTTTTTTTTACACTGGTATCGATACATCAACCTTAATCATAATGTGTAACCTAATAGTTGATTCTATTTATTTTTGTTTTTAATATAGATGACAAATTAAATTATTATTTTTGGGCACGAATACCGCACATTGGTTACACGAAAGTTATATTTTAATATTTTATTTTCCTTTGAAAGCTGATGATGAAGTTAATTGAAATTTGGCACAAAATAATATCGATCATGCAAGTTTAAGCTAATTAACTTACTTGGTCACAAACAGCTTGGTGTAATTGAAGTGCCGGGGTAAGATTAGAAAACTGCAACATGAGTTGTCAATTTTTATTTCCTAACGCTGAGACGTCAGAGCTGGTTGTGTTCATTTCATCCCTGGTCAGATTTCATGATGTCAGGCCGTGGTCAGATGTCATGATGTCAGGCCGTGGTCAGATGTCATGATGTCAGGCCGTGACAGACATGTTTCATTAAATTTAAAAGGTGTAAGTACATTCCTAATTTGAATCACTGAACTTTTTCCAAGGCAGATCTGGCAAAGTGTTACGGGAATAGTTTTACTATATTGGATTCCTTTCCCTTATCTGTTACAACTTTTTAAAATTTTATTTTTTTACAGTATCAAGTTTTCAATACATCACTATTGAAAGATATCTTATAATTTTGTAGACACGTATTAATTTTCTGGTTTCATAGTTTCAACAATTGGAAATATAGTTTTATTATTAAACTGTTGCTTGTTATGTTTAAAAAAAATAATTCCATTTGCAATGTGATATAAATTTACGAGTCAACTTCCTGTTCTTGAACTGAAGCATTGAATTGGACACAGTCCACAGTCTTTTGTTTCTTATAATATAATGGACTTTGAATGAACATTGTTGATTGATAAATGTGCTTGTTAATTTGATCATGTTATTTATTGTTCAAGTTTAGACCACTCGGTCACCCAGCACACAATGAATAATGTGGGTTAGGCTGGTCAGCGGTTGAAAACAGTTTTCACAATCCTATGCACGGGATCGAATTAAGAAACGCATGAATTCATTAAGAGGCACGCATTCTTTAAGAGACACGCATTCTTTAAGAGACACGCATTCATTAAGAGACACGCATTCATGAATTAAGAAACACACGCATTCATTAAGAGACACGCATTCATTAAGAGACACGCATTCATTAAGAGACACGCATTCATTAAGAGACACGCATTCATTAAGAGACATGCATTCATTAAGAGACACGCATTCATTAAGAGACACGCATTAAGAGACACGAATTCATTAAGAGACACGCATTTATTAAGAGACACGCATTCATTAAGAGACACGCATTCATTAAGAGACACGCATTCATTAAGAGACACGCATTAATTAAGAGACACGCATTCATTAAGAGACACGCATTCATTAAGAGACATGCGTTCATTAAGAGACACGCATTCATTAAGAGACACGCATTCATTAAGAGACATGCATTCATTAAGAGACACGCATTTATTAAGAGACACGCATTCATTAAGAGACACGCATTCATTAAGAGACACGCATTCATTAAGAGACACGCATTTATTAAGAGACAGGCATTCATTAAGAGACACGAATTTATTAAGAGACACGCATTTATTAAGAGACATGGATTCATTAAGAGACACGCATTCATTAAGAGACACACGCATTCATTAAGACACACGCATTCATTAAGAGACACTCATTCATTAAGAGACACGCATTCATTAAGAGACACGCATTCATTAAGAGACACGCATTCATGAATTAAGAGCAACGCGATTGAAGTTATAAAAACGTTAATGTTCTTCTAGTGAGGAGCAACGTCCAAAGAGTAATATGGTCATTATCAGATTAGACTTTGACGGACTATCCGCCATATTACTCGGTTACAGAGAAATTAGAAAATTAAGCTATTACAAAACTTTATAACATTTGTTTACTAATTTAAAAGTCAATGGCTCTCTTCCCCCCCCCCCCCCCCCCGCATAATCACGATTCCTGAACACCGCAGTTTGGGAAACGCTGCTCTCAATCTTTCTTTGCTGTACCCTAAAAGTACCTAAAGCATTTTTTTTTTAATTTTAAAAAAGTGCTACAGAGATAACAATGCTTCAATTGAATACCAGTAACGAAAAGTGTTGAGTAAATCACAGCCTCATATTTGGCGGATGTTCTCTTCCTCGTGCTCAAGTGACGCTCAAATCGATGCTATGATTAATGTATGCCTCTGGCGGATTACAATACGTTGTTGGTGTAGGGCTCTGTTGCATCTGTTGATAGTTCTGTTTTTATTTCTGTTCATGAGCCTGTATTGCATCTGTTGACACGAATTTGGAAAAAAAAATCTATAGATTAGTCTATACTGCATCTATTTATAAGTTATGTATTACATCTATTGATAACGTTTTTTAAATCATCCATAGGTAGACTATACTACATCTATTTATAAATAAGTCTTGCATTGCATCTTTCTTAAGACTGTAGTAGTCCCACTTCTAGTTATGGAATATAGCATTGGTCTTCTATATGTATTATATTTGCCCAAAGGATTACATATTAGTCGGAGCCGTTTTGGAATATCCGAAGGATCGGTTTCTTGAAACTCATCATCCAAATATGGGGATTTAATCATATTTTTAAAAAGAAAAAAAAAAAATCTCTTGGTGTTTTCTTAATAAACAGTTTTTCTTCTTGGTTTAAAAGACATATCGATTATCCGGACTGCAATCCCTAGGCTGCCATATCGCCCACACAATATCGGAATTAAGGAGCCGAGCAACATTTTCATTACGGCATCTTCAGCTCAGTTTTATCTAGTTGATTCCTGGTCCAAAAATCTACATTGCAGAGAATAGAATCTTGCTATTGTAAAAGGTGACCACCATTGACTTCCAGCTGTATACATAATATGATAACAGGAGGCTCGGTAGTCAATACGAGTGTATCATGCCCGCCCCACGTGAATCAATAACCGTATTGTACCGAGTTCTCTGGTAGCGCTAGACGACGTGTGGCTTCTTAATCGAATTGTTTTAATAACGCGAGCGGTCACGTGTCTGGTCACTACTACTTGTGGGGTTTTGAAAATCTGCTTACGCTTTAAGAAATCACTGCTTAATAATCATTTGATGTTAATAGCAACCAGCCTTGACGATAAGTGGACGCAAAGTGGGTCAACCACATTGGCACAGGCTCACCAGTGGTTCGAATCAGTGGGAACAGCCGTGAAAGATGTAGACACTTGGGTCGAGCTTTGAGAGACCGTTCTTAATTAACGAGCTTAAATTACTTGAAATGTTTCAAAAATATTATCCTTCGGCATTGGGTAGATCCGTATGTGCTCTATCAATAAGTCAATGCGATTTAAAAATAATATCTTAACTAGCGCTCTACGATTTTATGTTAGAGATGTGGGTAAGAGATGTGACGCTAGCTCTGTGGTTTGCTCTCAATGGGTAAGTGATGTGACGCTAGCTCTATAGTTTTTTCTCAGTGGGTAAGGGAGGTTGAGCTTGCACTATAGTTTTTTTTTCCCCAGTGAGTAAGGGTTGAGGAGATTTCTTAGGTACACAATAAAATTTTAGGTATTTTTTCCGGGATCTATGATTATTGTTCGCCATGTTTATAAATGGATTCCAACTAAACGTTTTTATTTAATAATAATTACCCCCTTTAAATAAAGCCCTCCTCACCCCCACCCCCCAGATAAAGTCCACCCCCTCAACCCCCCCCCCTCCCCGACACAGGCCCCACAGACAAAGCCCCGATCCCATACCAAGTCTGGGGTTGTTTGGGCCGAAATTTTAAGGTTAATATATTTTTAAAACCTGCTTTTTCCGTTAATTATAGCGGAAATTTGAATTTTAAAAATCTAATAACGGAGGTATTTTGTAAATGAATGAGCTCAGCACAGATCCACTGGCCGTATTTCTTCTTAGCCTGCAAATACATTAATGCAGGGTGGGCCAAATAAATAAGGGAACACATTCGCAAAATTGTGCTCAACCATTGACGCAGACCAGTGATCACTATACCTCATTTCTGGCTATACAAAGACGTACCGATTTTATGGCCATCTATAGTTTAGTATATGAGAGACTATATATATATATATATAAGTGGACGCAATCTCATACCCATGTACACACGGCACGGTTTGTCTTATTCCTCTTGTATATATATATATATATATATATATATACGCCACTTCGGAAAGAAACTTTTGATTTTATAAACGTTGTTACTATTTGACTATCTGGACTCAGGTATCCAATTTAGGATAATTGGCTGACAAGCAATAGACAAACATTCTCAAAATCGCCATTTAAAACTGCTCTTTGTAATGGTGAAATCTCGGAAGTATCAGGAATCTTTAAATAATCGATGAGTGTTCCAATCAACCTGTTAGTTTTATTGGGGTTGTGTTTAAATTTTTCAATCTCACCCTGTCAGTTGTATTGGAGTATGTGTGTTATGATCACCCTGTCAGATGTATTAGAGTGTTTGTGCTATGATCACCTTGTCACGTGTAATGGAGTATGTGTGTTATGATCACCTTGTCACTTGTATTGAGTATTTGTGCTATGATCACCCTGTCACTTGTAATGGAGTAATAGTGTTATGATCACCCTTTCAGATGTGTTTGAGTTTGTGTGTTATTATCATCTTGTCAATTGTATTGAGTATGTGTGTTATTATCATCCTGTCAGTTGTATTCAGTATGTGTGTTAAGATCACCCTGTCAGTTTCTGTTGGAGTATGTGTGTTAAGATCACCCTGTCAGTTTCTGTTTGAGTATGTGTTTATGATCACCCTGTCAGTTGTATTGGAGTATGTGTGTTATGATCACCCTGTAAATTGTATTGGAGTATGTGTGTTATGATCACCCTGTCAGTTGTATTGGACTATGTGTGTTATGATCATCCTGTCAGTTGTATTGGACTATGTGTGTTATGATCACCCTGTGAGTTGCATTGGAGTATGTGTGTTATGATCACCCTGTCAGTTGTATTGGAGTTTGCTTGTTGAGCTCAGCCCGCCCTGTAATGTTTAGGCTCTCATAATTACATCGCCAAATCGACGTGTAAGGAAATAGGTCGAAAGCTTGCGTTCAGGTCGATACTCATGTCACGCGTCTCCCGGGTACATACGGCACGGTTTGTCTTACTCCTCTTCACTGCCTCACCAATCTTATGCCCGGGTACATATGGCACGGTTTGTCTTACCCGCTTCACTGTCTCACCAATCTTATGCCCGGGTACATACGGCACGTTTTGTCTTACCCCTCTTCACTGTCTCACCAATCTTATGCCCGGGTACATATGGCACGTTTTGTCTTACCTCGCTTCACTGTCTCATTAACCTCATGCCCGTGTACATACGGCACGGTTTGTCATACCTCGCTTCACTGTCTCATTAACCTCATGCCCGTGTACATACGGCACGGTTTATCTTACCGATAACCTCACCGCGGTTTAATTTTAACTATCCATTTGCTTCAGTAATTCTCAAACTGTGAATAGCGACGCCCTCTAGGGTCGCCTGACAATATTGGAGGAGTCCCTTGTGAGTTCGAAAATTTTATTTTAAAAAAAAGTTATATTATTTATTTATTTGTTGACATTTTAATATGCATTTTTATCTCTATATGCCATTATACTCTGCCACTTTAATATCACACACGAAAGTTGGACTACACTGTAGTCCACTGGTTACAACGGTTACTGGCCATCCATTTAGTACAGTGGTTCTCAGCCTTCCTAATGCTGCGACCCTTTAATACAGTTCCTCATACTTTGGCGACCCCCAACCATAAAATTATTTTTGTTGCTTCTTCATGAATATGTATATTACCCCCGTGTAAGGGTTGTTCGACCCCCAGAAGGGTCGCGACCCACAGGTTGAGAACCGCTTCATGTTAGTTTGTTTATGTCTTCGCTATTTCGAACTGATCTTGTTAGAATTCAACATAGGGCGCTTGGTAAAAATCTAAAAAAAAAAAAATTGGGGAACCATTGACGTAGTTTGGGGGAAAAGGGGGGGGGGGGAAACCGTCACACCCCCGTTGAATATGGTGGATGACATATTACTGTAATACTGCTACTGAGTACTATTTGAGCGATAGCTAGCGAGTTCATTTTTGAAAACACAAAGTAACATTATGACGATGATACCTACAAAAGATTGCGGGATATTTTTACAGCATTCGAGATATAAATATGACATTTTTGGACTTTCATAATTTCAGGATGACTATTTTTCTACCGAGACCCCTTCCTTCGCGGGGCCATAAGCACGCATACGCAAAATCTTCTATGTCCACCCTCGATGCATACGTACTAAATAGATGGCCCCCATATTAAATCGCCTCTCCCACGCCTGTATGGAGTTGGGACTTTCTAAATGTTATCATGGGGTAACGTCGCTAAAAGGAGCTGAGAACCTCTGCAGTATTGGATTTTGACGCGCTGAAGCTCTGAGAAAATCGCTCTTGCTCTTGTTTCACAATGCCACATTTGACCTACATGCGGAGATCCACAATGCCACATTTGCCCTACATGCGGAGATACACAATGCTACAGTTGACCTACATGCTGAGATGCACAATGCCACAGTTGACCTACATGTGGAGATACACAATGCCACAGTTGACCTACATGTGGAGATACACAATGCCACATTTGACCTACATGTGGAGATACACAATGCCACAGTTGACCTACATGCGGAGATGCACAATGCCACAGTTGACCTACATGCGGAGGTGCACGGTGCCACAGCTTACCTACATGTATGCGGAGACGTGGAGCTGTCCTGCTAACTGGTGCGATTATGGACTATTTGCTCTGCTCTAGGTGTTAAACACACATACTCTTTTCTTGAAGTTTGACACACATACACTGACTGATGTTTAAACACATTCGCTGTGCTAGATGTTTAACACATACTCTGCTTGGTGTTTAAATACTACTCTTTGCTATAGATGCCTTTAACACACATACCCTGTGTTTGATGTTAGAAGAACTCTGATTGCTGTTTGACGCAAATTCTGTGCTTCGTCTTTGACACTGTCATACTCTCAATCATGACTCACTTTTCTCTTTTAATAGCTCTAGTGGGGTGTTATTTCACACATCTCTTTTGTTAGTGGGGTGTCATTTCACTTTTCTCTTTTGTTAGTGGGGTGTCATTTCACTTTTCTTTTTTTGGTAGCTCCGGTGGGGTGTCATTTCAATTTTCTCTTTTGGTATTCTTCATTTCAATTTTCTCTGGTAGGTTAGTCATTTCCCTCTTGTCTTTGGTAGCTCTGTTTCGGTGTCATTTCTCTTTTCTCGTTGGTAGCTATTGCTTAGTGACATTTAACTCGTCTCTTTGTTTGCTCTGTCATTTCACTTTCCATTAATGGTAACTCTTGCGTCACTGTGCAATCCTATAGCCTAGAGCCAGAGACAGAAATCAGAATCCACAGACAAATAGATTAAAATCGATGAACCGCAGGCACCACGCCTTCATATTTTACACGGATTGATCCTCCTCAAATCACTGTGTTTCTGTTATCCCTTTCCAACCCTTCATATTTACCAAGGATTGTGCTACCTCATATCGCCGTGTTTTTTCGTACCCCCCACCCAACTCTTCATAGTTACCATGTATTGTTCTAACTCAAATCACTGCGTTTCTGTACTCACCCTCCCTAACCCTTCATAGTTACCATGGATTGTTCTATCTCATATCGCCGTGTTTCTGTACTCACCCTCCCTAACCCTTCTTAGTTACCATGGATTGTTCTACCTCATATCGCCGTGTTTCTGTATTCCCCTCCTAGCCCTTCATATTTAACATAGATTTTTCCTCCTTAACTGTTTATGTACAGTACAGTCTGTATATGAACCCGCTCCTGACCACCCCATTTTTGTTTAGTCTTTAAATGTAGGTCTGCGCAACGATGTTGAAAATAATAAGATCTGAACGTAGTTAAACACTATATAACAATTACTGACATTAATCACTCTGAACATTAAAATCGAACAACCTTATCGAACATTTGTGAGTAAATACAGATTCAAGAATGCCCAATTAACAGAACTATATAACTATTTTTAAGACTAAATGTTAGTAAAAATTGTAACAGTCATATTACAAAGCTCATGTGTTATGTGTCTGACAGACATGAAAGTCCCCCAAAAGCTCGTCGGATTAGTTTGCCTTTTTTTGATTTTGGAAAAAGTTACTGGCAGTTCAGAAATGGATTTCTGTTCAGAAATGGATTTCTTTCTGTTGACTATTCTTAATAATGCATTTTAAGTCAAGTCTGGATCTGTCCCAAACAATCGTGAAATATCTTAATACAGTGTTTATATTAATGAAACCAGGACCGTCGCATGGGGCCTGCGACCATTGCAGAATATATGAAAGGCGCACGGTTGTGAAGGGGAAACACATTTAAGCTATCGAGTTTGAATGCAGGGGGGCAGGGCCGTGCCGAGATGTAGTTGTCCCTGGCGTCTACATCACAGGGCGTCAAAATCGTCCATTATCTATTTATAGGAAATTTTATATTAGTGAGGGGAGATAAAACTCACGGAAAGGCTTTGGATTAAGTCAATCTCCCTGACAGATCTAATTGGTTACTACAACCAACACCCCACAGTTCTCTGCCCACCAAGACATCCAATTTTGAGTTCCATTGACGTGTTACATTTTAGGTTTTCAAATAATCGCACCGTGTGTCTTGGTGCTGGCCCTAAAATAACACTGGATTGGCTACCACGCTAAACCATGACCTTTGGTAACCCTGCTTCCGACAGCGGCGTTAACAAGCCACTTTCTCTTGTCAGCCGAGTCTGGCCGTTACTGCAGTGGTTCTCGTTGGGTAGTGGATCACGTGCTGATAGCTCCCTATCCCCGAGTGATTCATTATGACATGGCGGAGGACTGGGAAGACACACAAATAAAATTTTTGCATAAAAACCCTCGGTGTAAGGTAGCGAAATGAATTGCCTTATTTGTTTAATTCGTTTATTTAAAAATAAAATATTTTTTCTTCCATAATAGATGCTACATTTTGTCACAACTCTCAGTCTTGTATACAGAAAGCCTAAGCAAATAAAACTGCTATGCGGCAATGAAGCACTATTATAAGTCAACACGTTAGTTTTCATTATTACTTTATAATAATAGAAATCTTAATTGAATTCAAATACAATTTCTAAGTTCAAAAAAAAAAAAAAAAAAAGCAAACAAACAGCAACATGAGTTTGTCATTTTAAATAATAGAAATCTAAATTGAATTCAAATACAATTTCTAAGTTCAAAAAAAAAAAAAAAAAAGCAAACAAACAGCAACATGAGTTTGTCATTTTTAAAAATCACTTAGGTTTGTTATTCTTAGTTTCTTTTGATGTTTTGAAGTCAAAACTTAACAACTGCCAATAACCATAGTCTCGAGCTTAAACGAATATAAGATTTGCTTTGTCTGCGAAACATGCGGCCGAAATTGCACATAACCTGACAACCACTTCATCCAAGCTTACCTCGCCACATGGATCTGTTTAACTGGAAACTTTCCTACACGACCGTTACCGTTGAAATAATTATATTTACTTAAGTGATGGGAGTAACGGTGGTTTTTGCCTTCAGCGCTGATTTGAACTTAAGATTGAGAACAATGTATGCTCGAAGAAACGTTAGTGGGGAGGTGGGGGGGGGTGGATTATTTTTGTCTTCTTACAAAGCTCATGTGTCTGACAGACCTGAACATCCTCAAAAAGCTCGCCTGATCAGTTTGTCTTCAGTAGCACTTTTTAAAATGACTCTTTTGCTAGTCTCTCGTCTGAGGCGGGCCTCGTGAGTACATTTTGAGACTCGTGAAAATATCTAAATGTTACATCATCGCAGCGAGGAACTTCGTTAATAAAAGGTAGTCTTTAAAAGTCAATACATTATAGATGTAATTTAATATTAAACAATGAATTCTTTAAAAGTCAATACAGTATATGCCGGTATGCAATGCCGGTATGCAATTTAATGTTTAACATAGTAGCCTTTAAAAGTCAATACATTATATCCGGGTATGTAATTTAATGTTCGAAATAGTAGTCTTTAAATGTCAATTTATTATAATTGTATTTTAATTTTAAACATTATAGCACTCTTTAGAAGTTAATAGATTATATGACCGGCCTGCAAACATACGGTATATGACCGGCCTGCACACATACGGCTTGCGGGCCGCATGCTACCCGCCAGCACCGCCTTACGGCCCGCGATACGAAATATCATTTAATTTTATTATTTTCTTAATAGCCCCCCCCCCCCTTTTTATCTTTCGGCCCGCACACTTTTTCATAACGGCCCTCCTTACATTTTAAGTTGTGCAGGCCTGATAGTTGTAATTGAATATTAATCACAGCAGTCTTTAAAAGTCAATATGTTATATGTGTAATTTAATGTTAAACATAACAGTCTTTGAAAGCTAATACATTGTATATTTAATGTACAGTCTATCAGCTATTATTTAAAAGTAAGCATTAGCCTAACTTAAAGTTGGACTGCCTCGTCCTAAGTCATTAATAAAAAGATTTTTTTAAAAAAACAACAACGAAAGAGACAGAAGAAAACAAGACAAAACCGAAGCTGTTGTGGCCACTGATAGTTTTATGAACAGGATTGTATGACATTAGTCTCATGATAGTTTTATGAACAGGATTGTATGACATTAGTCTCAGTTCATTGAAAGCCATTCATCCAACAGTCTCAGTCCATTGAAAGCCATGCATCCAATAGTATCAGTCCATTGAAAGCCATTCATCCAATAGTCTCAGTTCATTAAAAGCCATTCATCCAATAGTCTCAGTCCATTGAAAGCCATTCATCCAATAGTCTCAAGCCGAAGCTGTTGTGGCCACTGATAGTTTTATGAACAGGATTGTATGACATTAGTCTCATGATAGTTTTATGAACAGGATTGTATGACATTAGTCTCAGTTCATTGAAAGCCATTCATCCAATAGTATCAGTCCATTGAAAGCCATTCATCCAATAGTCTCAGTTCATTAAAAGCCATTCATCCAATAGTCTCAGTCCATTGAAAGCCATTCATCCAATAGTCTCAGTTCATTGAAAGCCATTCATCCTATAGTCTCAGTCCATTGAAAGCCATGCATCCAATAGTCTTAATCCATTGAAAGCCATTCATCCAATAGTCTCAGTTCATTGAAAGCCATTCATCCAATAGTCTCATTTCATTGAAAGCCATTCATCCAATAGTCTCAGTTCATTGAAAGCCATGCATCCAATAGTCTCAGTCCATTGAAAGCCATTCATCCAATAGTCTGAATTCATTGTAAGCGATTTAGCTAATAATCTCGGTTCATTGTAAACGAGGCAGTCATTCGTCTTGGTTCATGTAAGCTAGCCAGCCATTGGTCTCAGTTTTGGTAACGCGTCTACCAATGGTCTAGGTGCAATATGAGTGGGTCAGCCATAAGTCTCAGATCATGTAACCGAGTCTATCCCCAAAGAACGAGGACGTTAAACATAACCCAATTACCCGTATCATATAGTCCTCTAAAGATTCCGGGGACTGAACAAATGAGGTCATTCTGGTTAGTCTTTGGTCAATCTGCGTCTGAACATGTTTGGAAGTATAGCGCTGCAATGCTAGATTCAGTTGTTGTGTTATGTGAACGTTTATGTTGTGTAGTAGGGTGTAGTTGGCCATGGGGAAATTCTTGTTTTACATATGTGGTTAACACGTTATTTATTTGTCTCGCTTTTGGGAGTTTTATCATTGACTCAGTCATGTGGATTTAAACATAGTTGTAATGAGGATCGTAAGAAAAGTAGATCTAGTGAGGATCGTAAGAAACATAGATCTAATGAGGATCGTAAGAAACATAGATCTAATGAGGATCGTAAGAAACATAGATCTAATGAGGATCGTAAGAAAAGTAGATCTAGTGAGGATCGTAAGAAACATAGATCTAATGAGGATCGTAAGAAACATAGATCTAATGAGGATCGTAAGAAACATAGATCTAATGAGGATCGTAAGAAACATAGATCTAATGAGGATCGAGAAACATAGATCTAATGAGGATCGTAAGAAACATAGATCTAATGAGGATCGTAAGAAACATAGATCTAATGAGGATCGTAAGAAACGTAGATCTAATGAGGATCGTAAGAAACGAAGATCTAATGAGGATCGTTAGAAACGTAGATCTAATGAGGATCGTAAGAAACATAGATCTAATGAGGATCGTTAGAAACATAGATCTAATGAGGATCGTAAGAAACATAGATCTAATGAGGATCGTAAGAAACTGGCCTTTCAAACTCACTTAATACTAAAAGTTGTACTTAATTATTAAACAATTCTAAAGCCATCTAACACCAAGTTTCAGATATCGGCACGCATATATTCGTCTTTGTACCAATGGGACTTCCCGCTTTCCTGACTCAATACTGATAATATGTTTACGTGTGCATGGCTCAGCATTGACGAGACAGTAGATAACCTATATGAACAAAACTACAGTCGCAACTTGGATACAGTAAATAGCCGAGTTGCGAAGCCAGTAGGAGAATGGGGACGCAGCTGCTACCTCAGATCCAATTAGATACGATTGTGCTTTTATTTCCGAAGAAGAAGAAGAAAAGGTGCGTGGAAAAAAATAGGCCCGTTGATTTCAAAACTTGGCTACGCCTCGGGTTAACCGGGTCTTCCATCATTCACGACATAGAGCTAATCAAACAGTTAAGTTTATTTTTAGAAATGTGTTTGAACAATGTAGATGTCTTGGTTATTTTTGGTGGCATTTCTGAAGCTCAAAAACTAAAAACTGAGTCGGCGATATTGCACCAATAGGCCACATCGGGATTGTTATCTCTGAGCACACTCTTTTTAAAGATAGAAACGTTTTGTCTGGATGTATCGATTGTTACCTCCCCGACCTACAGCCCATTTCTACGGCACTTTTACAAAATGTGTTTCCTCCATTGTCATTTCTTGAGTGTTAGCGAAGCTCAGGGCGGATAACAAATTAAAACATCTGAAAGAGGTGGTTGTGTGGCGTATACAAGTGTACCTCGGTGGTGGGTCGGGGATAGTTTTGTACCGAGGATAGAGGTCCGGAGATAGTTTGGTACCGAGGTTAGAGGTCCGGAGATAGTTTGGTACCGAGGTTAGAGGGTCGGAGATAGTTTGGTACCGAGGATAGAGGGTGGGAGATAGTTTGGTACCGAGGATAGAGGGTGGGAGATAGTTTGGTACCGAGGTTAGAGGTCTGGAGATAGTTTGGTACCGAGGTTAGAGGTCAGGAGATAGTTTGGTACCGAGGTTAGAGGGTCGGAGATAGTTTGGTACCGAGGTTAGAGGTCTGGAGATAGTTTGGTACCGAGGTTAGAGGGTCGGAGATAGTTTGGTACCGAGGTTAGAGGGTGGGAGATAGTTTGGTACCGAGGTTAGAGGTCTGGAGATAGTTTGGTACCGAGGTTAGAGGTCCGGAGATAGTTTGGTACCGAGGTTAGAGGTCTGGAGATAGTTTGGTACCGAGGTTAGAGGTCCGGAGATAGTTTGGTACCGAGGTTAGAGGTCCGGAGATAGTTTGGTACCGAGGTTAGAGGTCCGGAGATAGTTTGGTACCGAGGTTAGAGGGTCGGAGATAGTTTGGTACCGAGGATAGAGGGTGGGAGATAGTTTGGTACCGAGGTTAGAGGTCTGGAGATAGTTTGGTACCGAGGTTAGAGGTCAGGCGGAGATAGTTTGGTACCGAGGTTAGAGGGTCGGAGATAGTTTGGTACCGAGGATAGAGGGTGGGAGATAGTTTGGTACCGAGGTTAGAGGTCTGGAGATAGTTTGGTACCGAGGTTAGAGGTCAGGAGATAGTTTGGTACCGAGGATAGAGGTCTGGAGATAGTTTTGTACCGAGGTTAGAGGTCTGGTGATAGTTTTGTACCGATGATTGAGGTCTGGAGATAGTTTGGTACCGAGGTTAGAGGTCTGGAGATAGTTTTGTACCGAGGATAGAGGTCTGGAGATAGTTTGGTACCGAGGTTAGAGGTCTGGAGATAGTTTGGTACCGAGGATAGAGGGTGGGAGATAGTTTGGTACCGAGGATAGAGGTCTGGAGATAGTTTTGTACCGAGGTTAGAGGTCTGGAGATAGTTTGGTACCGAGGATAGAGGGTGGGAGATAGTTTGGTACCGAGGTTAGAGGTCTGGAGATAGTTTTGTACCGAGGATAGAGGTCTGGAGATAGTTTGGTACCGAGGTTAGAGGTCTGGAGATAGTTTTGTACCGAGGATAGAGGTCTGGAGATAGTTTGGTACCGAGGATAGAGGGCGGAGATAGTTTGGTACCGAGGATAGAGGTCTGGAGATAGTTTGGTACCGAGGATAGAGGGCGGAGATAGTTTTTACCCAATATGGTGGGCAAAAGAAAAGCGATCAGTTGGGCGGAGAGCCGGGAAACTTATTTTCAATATTGCATCGGTCATAAGGGCGCTGTGTCTGCTGATATTGCAGGTGTCAGTATTCGATGATTGGTCACCACTGCGAGGGCCTGTTTATGGTCATATACATACAATTACTCGGCCCGTATGTAATTAAATATGTGCATTTTACTTCTCTCCTAGTAGTGGAACTCGGTATACTATTCAATATCCCACATCACCGAGCCGTAACGCCGCATCTGATTGAAGCATTAGTCCCACATTCATGATGGCTTCTGAGCTAATGTTGGTCCTTGGCTTTTCTAAAGTTCTCATTGTTTCCCTTTCCCGGTCGTATCTTATTGTCATTATTCCGGCTTGGCTCAAAGATTAACGATTGTTTATGACTCTTGTGATGTGTTCTGTGGTTGGCTGTGAGTGCACGCAGAAGAAATAGACAACCCACTCGTTGTGGTTGCTGCCTGTTTCTCCACAGCTCGAGAAAAGTTATCTGTGTCAATGTTTTAAACTGCTGCAGTTTGATGGGAGAACGATTTGCCCTCCTCCGCTGCCAGTGACGTGTGACAACTTACAGTTGAGGCAAGGGAATGAAGGAAAAAGCATTTCTTAGTTTGGCCCGGTCTCTAAGCCACTCCACAGATCTTGTAGCAATCTACAGAACACTTAATACTTGCACCACTCAATTATTACGCACGTATTTTGCCAATCAATAGGAGATGACTAAGATATCTTCACGAGAAGGTTCTCAAATAAATTGTCAATATTGTGAGAGTATGATAACAATGGGCATTGTACTTTTTCGTCAATGTATAGCATTTCGAGTTTTCTTCCTTTATCGTTAAAATAAACTTAGCTTCTAGAAATTAATTTGCAGTCATTTGTTTGTGTGAATCACCACTGACCGGTGTATGTCGGCAGATGGCCCCGTCCCCGATCGCCCCCTCTCCAATGGCCCCGTCCCCGATCGCCCCCTCTCCAATGGCCCCCTTCCTCCCGATCGCCGCCTTCCCCTCCCGATCGCCCCCTTCCCTCATTTTTCTCTAAACATGTATCCCGTCGTGCTTTCACTCCCCCACTACCATTATCACCAAATTTTCGCTGTATGTTGGTTGTCTTAATAAGCTCTTTAGACTATACGTCTAGATTAGACGGTGTATGACTGGAGTCTGGTCTGCAAGATGTCTTATAATCAACTATAAAAAAACAAAAACAAAAAAAAACAAGTATTCCTTCTTTGCATCTATGGCATTACAATTTCAGCTGATTAAAATATTATCAGCATTCAAGTAAAAGCTGTTTTAAAACTACAATTTGTTAACACTATTCTAACTTAGATGTGCTATTTAACTAAAATGTTATGATGACGAAGCATTTCTTACACGGAGGTTGGCGCTTTAACCATTTTGAGTTGATCGTTGGACAATGCAATATTTGTTATGACAGAGTTCAGATATTGACCGCAGATCTTAGATTTAAATCCTTGAGTACTGAGACTTGCAATGTCGACTTTATATACTACCTTAATAAGCGCATCATGTATTAATAGTTGACAAACTTACTAAGCTCACTTTTGTTCTTGTTTCCACAGGAGCTAGAGAACGATTTTGATCAGTGCGCTGTTTGCATAGAGCCGTACAAGGCTCATGACGTCATACGGAGTTTACCTTGTCGGTAAGTGCTTTGTCTATTGGACTCGGAGATCACGTGACTCCTCGGAGATCACGTGACTCCGTGTGTTTTTTTTTTCTATATATTAAGGGCCCACGTTCAATTTATTGATCATTTTTCGCTCCTATTGGTTGGTTGGTTTCATTAGGAAATCTTTGTCCAAAAGTAGGGCCACTTTTTTTTTTTTTTTTTAGCATTTATTCATTTGTGTCAGGAAGTCTTGTCAGCTTCCAAATCGTACATGTCACAGTTGTAAGGCTGCTTTCGATTAATGAAGATGAAAATAAACGGTAAACTTTATTTTTTTTTTTCTTTTTTTTAAGGGCCCACGTTCAATTTATTGATTATTTTTCGCTCTTATTGGTTGGTTGGTTTCTTTTGTTAATCTTTGTCCAAAAGTAGGGCCACTTTTTTTTTTTTTTTTTAGCATATATTCATATGTGTCAGGAATGCTTGTCAGCTTCCAAATCGTACATGTCACAGTTGTAAGGCTGCTTTCGATTAATGAAGATGAAGATAAACGGTACACTTTGTGTACACACATAATTTTATGATCCTAGTCAATCACCTCGGGGCTGGCATTGTAGCGACCCATCTAATCCTCCGCCATGTCGAGATGTATAGCTAAGAACTTAATCAAATAAAACATGGACGATATGACGAGTAGACAGCCCTTACTTACAGAACCATTTGCAGACCTGTTTACCCCTACGCTTTCGCCGAAGTAACTACTTTTTTAAGTCTAACCCTACGGCACTACGACCAGCCGTAAAAACGTAGTTTTTTTTTTCCTTCATGTGTTTGGTTCATTTATTTATTTTTTTTTTTTTAATTAAAAATTTGGCCATTTTTCATTTTAATTATAAAGTGACCGCATTTTGTTGGGTTAACACCGTAAGCAATGGAATACAAACAAAAGTGATTGGCCTTTGCAATCTCGATCTCAATGAATCAACCATAATAGTGTTCTTTTAGAAGGTGCCCTCATTGTTAAGGGGTCATCCATTTAGTAAGCACGCACTGAGGGGGGAGCCAGGTTTGTCGATTTTGGAGATTAGGCCTACGCGTGAGTGTGGCCCCCGAGGGGGGGCGTCTCTCCAAAAAGTACGTACGTTTGTTAAAAATTCTACAAAAATCATCCTGAAATTTTGACAGTCAAATATAGCATATTTATATCTCGAATGCTGTAAATATATCACGCGATGTTTTGTTTGAATTACGTCATAATATTGCCTTGTGTTTTCACAAATGAACTCGCCAGATATCGCTCAAATAGTACTCAATACTAGCAGTATTACAGTACTATGTCGCCCATCGAATGTTCAACGTGAGTGTGACAAAATCATATCTCCCCTGGCGTGGTCCTCAAATTTGTTGATTCCCGGCGCCTGTGCCAAATTTAGGTTTTTCGCCAAACTGTTACTGATCCCCTTACTTCCGCACTTGGTTGGCTCAGTCATCCGCCACCGCACAGGCCTGTTTTAGTATGTCTACCATATTAATACTGGTATAAATAGGATACTAAGTCTACATGGTCTAGTGTTAATAAAACAATGACCAACACTACCTTTAAAGACTGGTGATGGTTAGGAGAGCAACCAAGGTTGACCATGTGCCATCTGAATGCTAGAATGTTTAAGAAAAGCCAGACATCTTTATCACCCACCGCAGGTGTCCACGTCTGGAAAATCTCAGTCAAGCTCTCAATGTGTGTCCAAATATGAAACCCTGATTACAGAGATTCCTCGCAAGAAAAAAACACAGACTCTATGACTAAATGAATATTCTAGTATCCCACAGAGACTAGAAACATGTCTAAACTTTTTCTTCAATACCAAGCACAGAAACATCGCGAATCCCCTCAACATAAATAGAAGCCAGAATGATCAATACATTGATCGTGGGCCCTTACGACATAGATGAAATTGAAGTTAAAAAAAATTCTTTAAGTAAACTGATAAAAATTGTGCCCTATTGCTATGAAATTTAATAAATATATAATTGTATGCACCTTTATTGGTTAATATTGTTTTTGCGTTTCAATATTGATTTTAATTTTACAAATTCATACTTGTTTTCATATTGTCTAAAAAAAACGTGTGTTGCAATAGTCTTGAGTTTTAGCTCACATATGCCTATCGGTCAAGCGAGTATGTGCAGTGAGTGCCTTTTGTGCTTGCCTAAAACCTTTTGTCATCTTTAAGAAAATAATCAGATGACTTTTTCATGTATATTAATTTGTGTTAACTTATATAAGCAGTTGAGTGGATTTCCTGACCCAACTTGTATTTTGATTGGTAACACACACCCCCCCCCCTTTTTTTTTTATTTTTTCCCCCTCTCTCGCTAATATACAAAAACTTCTTTTTGGAGCTTGAAACTACGTTTTTTAGAGCTACTCTGACACGAACTCAGGGGTAAACTGNTTTGTCATCTTTTAGAAAATAATCATATGACTTTTTTATGTTTATTTATTTGTGTTAACTTATTTAAGCAGTTGAGTTGATTTCCTTACCCAACTTTTATTTTTATTTGTAACACACACCCCCCCCCCCTTTTTTTTTTATTTTTTCCCCCTCTCTCGCTAATATACAAAAACTTCTTTTTGGAGCTTGAAACTACGTTTTTTAGAGCTACTCTGACACGAACTCAGGGGTAAACTGGTCTGCATTTGGCATATCTCCTCTGGGTGGGAGTACTCAATCTGAAATTCAAACATTCAGCTCAATGTTGTGTTACCTCAAACCTAATCGCCCCAAGCGTAACAAATGTTTCAAAATTATGGATTATAGCAAACAAAAAGCTTATGTATATGAGAATACACAGGGGGGGGGGAGGTGGCACGGGGCTGTGACGAAGAGAAATGAGATTATCTGGTGCATTGGTATTGATCTCCCTTGCCTAGATATTGAGTCTTGACATGTAGCACTCGTTTTTTTTCCCCCTCTATCCTTGTGCTGGAGTAGCTCTCCCTTTTGTGTGGGTCTTAGTTGGATTAGATTTCACACTCAGCGCTGTGGACGAAGGACTTTTATCATTTGCATACGTTTTGGGCACGGCGTGATCTTATCGTTGCGTCATTGATGGAGCAGAGTCACGGATGAAACTAGCGACACCTTGTTTTGAAAAAAGTTATATAAAGTTCACCCCAGCCAGCCAAACCCGGATTCAAAGGCTTCAGCTACAAACTACGTTTACGATCATGTATGATATAACATGATCTGATATATATTATATATATGACGATTTATATGATATAAAGAGTTAATGATCGCATAGAAAAGGATAACTTATCCCAGGAGCTCCCAAACTTTCTCTAGTCACGGCGCCGTTGCTGGATCCATGTTCCACCCCCCCCCCTCCCTTTTCCCCGCCCCCATTATATGATATAAAGAGTTAATGAGCGCATAGAAAAGGATAACCTATCCACGGAGCTCCCAAACTTTCTCTAGTCACGGCGCCGTTGCTGGATCCATGTTCCCCCCCCCCCCCCTACCTTTTCCACGCCCCCTGTACCAAATTCCAACAAGAGCACTGCGAAATAGCGACTATATTTCCCTTTGTTTAGCGCGGGATCGGCCGGCACGTGAAATATTGCGGAGCGCGGATGCCTCCTACTCCTATATCACAAATACACGTATTCGTCCTTCATTTAATTAACCTAGAAATAGAATTTTAGACTGTTAACTGAGAGAATAAATACAGAATATGTAAATAATCCTTTGCGGCATCTAGCTGGAGATGTTAATAGTAGTTAAAGCTCGCCAAACAATGGCGGCGGCAATGCATAAACTTCCCATCTGCTTAAGATACTTGACAAAACATACACTCAGAGAACAACAGGAGCGAACATGATCTTACTATTGAAATACATATTCAGAAGAAATGTTTATTGTTATTGCACTGCGTTACATATATGCCCCACAAGCTACCTTTAGACTGTCGTTTTTTTAAACCGATGCACTTTTTGCCTGTATTGATTTTATTCTCATGCAGCAAATAACTAAATACCAGCAGCTTTAACCCCGCTTCCTTACCTAACATTGTTTGACATTATTTCCTCAGTGTGCATATTTTTACACTAGGGAATAAAACCTGTGGCATCTGTCGTTCCCTCGATTTCACAATAACACGTTTACTTAACTCCCCGCCCGATGCGATATTGATCTTGCTTTCCTCCAAGAGCACGGGCTCCCTAAGCTGCTCCCTGCTCCCACAAAACATGGACCCCCCTCGCTATTGTCCTTATCAAAAACGTGTCCTAATCGGCTTTAATGGCTAGCGTTGATCAAACTTGTGTCCTCCTCGGCGGCCCAGTGTTTCCTGGTCTTGTCTTTTGAGCCATGTTCCATTGGCCATTCCAGACCTTCAAGGGGCCCCTGTGATCCGACCGCGTTAGAGTTTCGATGTTGATGGTGCATGAAAACTGGCTCATGCTTGGAACGAACATTTGAAACGCTTTGATTAGTGAGATTCTTTGATACTGTTATAGTGGCCTGCATCACTGGTTAACTCTTTTTTCCCCCTCCATCCGTGCTTCTAAAAACATTTCATTTCACAAAGCCAGGGTCTTATGTTTTTATGGAGATCCCATTCAGGAGATTTCTCCACTTCTCCCACCCTCCTTTTTATCGACTATGCTCACGGAGCTGCAACTGGTGAACCTAGGGACAAATCAAATGGAGTTACACAATTGTTTTTATTGTTCTTTGTTTTTTGTTATTAGTATTATTATTATTTTTTTTTGTTGAGTATCCAATGATAAAATGTGTATCAATCGGCATCCTCGTCGCCATTTTGTGCAGGCTTCGTCACTGAGCGATGTCATCGTTATATTTCCCAGTGTCCTCCCCCCTCCCCCTTATTCCACCTCACTAGAAAGTGCTCATTTCCTACCCACATTCAGTACAGGAAATTACAACTACACCCCCTTCACCCGTTCTTTCTTCTCCTTTTCCCTAACATAAATGAGCAGTGATTGATTCCTGACCTTGGAGTTAGTGTTCATTTTTTTTTTTTTTTTACATCCAGGCGTTGTTCAGCATGACCAACTTCCTCTATGTGACACCCCTGTCCACAGCCCCGCCCTATGTTCTTTCTTACTCTACTGTCTCAGACACCACCCCGTGTTGTCTCTGACTCTCCGGTCTGTACAAGCCACCATATGTTGTTGTCTCTGACTCCCAAGACTATACAACCCGTCATATGTTGTCTCTGACTTTCACAACCCTGCCATATATTGTCTCTGACGCTCCTGTCTATACAACCCGTCATATGCTGCCTCTGACTCCGCTGGCCGCAATTCTATGCATTTAGTCTGTGTCAATCTGCTGTCTACAAGTCGTTCTCTGCGCCCATGGAATGTTAGTGAGGACAAAACTCATCATATCGTTATTTTCAGGACGAAGGTGGTCTTGTTGAACATCAGTAATTAATCTGACCGTTACATCTTTATCAACCAGAATCCATTAACAAAAATTAAGACCTTCGGACCGATCGCCGTCGGGCTAGAGATTTCTTTATTAAATGAAGCTAACATTGTTAAAGCGAGGCTGGGAAAGCCCGGGGTCTCCGTTACATGACTTGCGAGAAAAACAAACGCTGTGGCGCCCGTTAAGACATCCGAGTGACATAGAAGAAAAAGAATGACCCCCTGACCTGCTTAGTCCCACAACCGAACCCGGTAGTTGTGCTCACTCTGATTCGATTAGCGTTCACTCCCACGCATCGTTCGTGTTGAAACGGTGTACTCTTGCTTCACATAGTCTGGCCGTGGTTCAAATAGGCTGGTCGTGGTTCAGATAGGCTGGCCGTGGTTCAAATAGGCTGGCCGTGGTTCAGATAGCCTGGCCGTGGTTCAGATAGGCTGGCCGTGGTTCACACAGGCTGGCCGTGGTTGAGATAGGCTGGCAGTTGTTCACATAGGCTGGCCGTGGTTCAAATAGGCTGGCCGTGGTTCAAATAGCCTGGCCGTGATTCAGATAGGCTGGCATCACATAGTCTGGCCGTGGTTCAAATAGGCTGGTCGTGGTTCAGATAGGCTGGCCGTGGTTCAAATAGGCTGGCCGTGGTTCAGATAGCCTGGCCGTGGTTCAGATAGGCTGGCCGTGGTTCACATAGGCTGGCCGTGGTTGAGATAGGCTGGCAGTTGTTCACATAGGCTGGCCGTGGTTCAAATAAACTGGCCGTGGTTCAAATAGGCTGGCCGTGATTCAAATTGGCTAGCTGCGATACTAAGGTACTTCCAGACACGTTGAAATTGTGCGGACCATTGAAATCGATTGACGCGGATAAGGGTGAGAGTTACTGTCAGCAATACGACATATTAGTGCTAACGACTGCTAACTCTTGCCAGACCACCTTCAACCTAATAGCTGACTGCAACACGCTTGTAGTATGTCGTTGAATATCAAGCATGTGCCCGTTCACGTGAATGAGGTAGTATAAACTAGACTATAGATCAGGCCTCCAAAACTCAAAATGTAAGGCGGGCCGTAATACTTTATGAAAAAACTTGTGCGGGCCAAAAGAAAATAGTTCAGGGGGAAAGCTATTAAGAAAATAATTATAATAAAGAATATTTCGTTACTTCGCGGGCCGCTAAGTGGGTGCTGGCGGGCCCCATGTGGCCCGCGGGTCGTATTTTGTGCAGGCGTGCTATAGATTGTTGATAGGTAATAGAAAAGACATACTCACGTACGCAGGTATGTGACATATCTCGCCGCGTTATTACCACACAAAAGTGAATAATTTTATGTATAATTTTTAAGTGTGTGGCCTTTATTTCTGTCTTATTACTTCATAAATGTAAAATCTTTACGTCTTTTTCTTCTTTCATAATATTTGACAGGTTCTTGGCAAAAAAAACCTAAGAAAATGTTTTAAAAAATAAAACCTATTGTTGTGAACTAAGGGCTGTGTTGGTGAGACAGCTGTTGACAGGCATTTGCAAGGTTCACTTATCATAGCTTAGTGATAGATTGAATGCCGTTTGATTATTATTGAATTTTTAACTCTCAAAATCATCAGGATCATTATCTTTTGCGCGTTTTCTCACGTATTCTATACTATATAGCTGTGACATTGGAAGCATAGTATTATATTTATCAATAATTAGTCCATAAAAACCCAGTGTAACATGGGGGGTTGGCCGTTAACGTAGACTGTGTCTAGTCTGTGTTAGGTTGATGGTCATCAACAGCACACACATTTAAGTGGGGGGGGGGGGGGGGGTTCAAAAATTGAAATCAAAATGAGTGCGGCGCTGCAAAAAAAAAATAAAAAAAATTTAAGAGCCCCACTTTAGTGACTGAGGAAAAAACAAACATTTTCAACATCACTAATTCTAAATAAATAAAATGCATTTTGGGAACTTGCATGAAGGAAAGTCTCTATACTTGGCTTATGGTGAATCGTGATGGCCTCTGTCATCGGTTTTGCTAAAGGTTGAGTGTAAAATTGCCGATAACTATTGGCTGGTCAAGAGTGATAACTGTGCTTGTCAGATCGTCATTGGATGGCCTCTTTGTTCAATCTCGAAAGGTTTACCCAGTTTCTGGATGGGCTGATGGCCGGGAATAATATATACAAAAATAGCAACAGTTGCAAGGCAGTTTAAATATGTCGTTTTATTTCTCTGCATTGTTTCTTCTCATGACACACGCTGGTTACTTCAAACGCCTCTTATATACCTTTTAACTCTTATCTATTTTTCTCTGCTATGGGGCACTGTCTGCAGCTCATTCCAGTTATTTCTGATTCTCTTACTCTCGCCCTGTATTGCGGTCGCCTCTCTGTGTGTTGCTGGGTAGTCGTCCTTTAATTGGCTCGACTGCTGCACAAAACCCACGTTTATTTAACCCAGTTGATCGCTGTATCTCGGGAATTTTACACGGCGGCCGGAAATGACATGCCATGGCATGCACATGTTTTTAAAGTTTTTTTTTTCAGTACAGTGTTAAACTCGACATTTTTAAAGATTTGGTCATATTAGTCTAGGGTTAAACTCAGCATGTTACGCGGAACCAGTGGCGTAGCGAGGGTGTTTGGCGCCCGGGGACAAGATCCATTTTTAGCGCCCCTTTTTCTTTTTTTCAAATCTCAAACCCATTATTTTCATCAATAAAATAATATCAAAGCACATTTTGGCGCCCCTAACTAGCTGCCGCCCGGGGACATCTGTCCCCCCCTGCCCCCACCACGCTACACCTCTGCGCGGAACGCCAGGTTTCATGAACACTTTAGCAGGGTGACATTTACTCTACTTTCATTACATGTCAACACTTGTTATGAATGTGAATGGATTGGCTTTCTAGCTTCAGCTGGCATAATTTTAGGTGTTACCATTCTAAAAATAGTCAAAGAAATGGTATAATTATTATATTTTGTGTTAACAATACCATTTAGTGAACCATTCCATCCCATTTACTTGGTGACGACGATAACAATACCATTTAGTGAAACATTCCATCCCATTTACTTGGTGACGACGATAACAATACCATTTAGTGAACCATTCCATCCCATTTACTTGGTGACGACGATAACAATACCATTTAGTGAACCATTCCATCCCATTTACTTGGTGACGACGATAACAATACCATTTAGTGAACCATTCCATCCCATTTACTTGGTGACGACGATAACAATACCATTTAGTGAACCATTCCATCCCATTTACTTGGTGACGACGATAACAATACCATTTAGTGAACCATTCCATCCCATTTACTGGAGGACGACAATAACAACATGTGTGTGTAATGATTTCGGTTCAAGATAGAACGTGAACAAAAAAGTTGTGGGTGCATGTTTGATTATTTTTTTGGTTTTTTTTTTTTTATAGTTATTTGGTTAGTTGTTTTTGTTTTATTAGTTAATTTGTTTGTTTGTTTATGAGTTAGTTCGTTTTTTAAAATATTTTTTTTTATTTTAAGTTTCATTACTCTTAATAGACTGTTGCGGAACGAGATCAAATACGGGTATAAATCCGACCGCCGCACAGCCAAAGATTGTGGAATAATTTAAAACTGATGCTTTTATTTTATTCAAAGTTTAGTTACATTTGCGTGTAAAGTATTTGAAAGAATCAGTGTACGCGCTAGGCATCTGTGTTGTTACCCTGTTACATTTATGTGTGTACAGATCTGGCCAATCTCTCTTGTCTTTCTCAGGCATGTGTTTCACAAGTCATGCGTCGACCCGTGGCTCCTGGACCAAAGGTCGTGCCCAATGTGCAAGCTGGACATTCTCAGAGCCTATGGCATGCAGGTAAGCTTATTTTTTAAAACATGCCTGTTTTTTTACTCAGTACTTGATGAAGTAGTCTGCTCTTTGTCTGAGTACTCGATGAATTAGCGTACAATGATCAATGCATGACAATGGGATCCGACTCATAGACTTTACTTCAATAAAAGAGATGTCAGTTAGCAGCACCAAGTTTCCACTCAAAAAATTTACATACATAAAGTTACTTGGAACTCACCAGATTGAATTACCCACGTTTTAATCGATCGTTTTAAGGATCAGACTAGACATACTAGATGTAAGAAGCTATCAAGGAGCAGATGCAGACTCTGACCATCTACTTGTAAGGGTTAAATATAAGCAGAGAAGAAGATTTATTCACAATGGCCAAAATCAAAGAGAAAAGTGATTACCAAAAACTTTCCAAAAAATGACGTAACAAGTAGAAGCATCACAGGAGGAAACAGGGAAAANNGGGGGGGGGGGGGGGGGGGGGGGGGGGGGGGGGGGGGCGAGGGGGGGCTGTAGTCTTTAACTGCTAAGATGTTTCCCTTTCCTGAACGTTTCCGCCCCTGCCAGGCTTCATATATCAAAACTCGTGTACACCGGAAACAAGGGATTTTTCGCCACGGCCCTTAATCAACAAGCGACCCGCCATGCACTGTCACGACAGTGGTTTACAAACTTTGTGACACAGTTTGACTCACAAACCCAGTGACGCAGTATGGCTCTACAAACCTAGTGACGCAGTATGGCTCTACAAATCTAGTGACGCAATGTGACTCTACAAACTTAGGGAGACTCTACAAATTGAGTGCCTCAATTTGTCTCTACAAACTCGGTTGTGCTACGAACTTAGGTATAACTTCAGACAAATTTATCATGCACTTGTGAAACAAAAAAATAATTTTGAAGTAACTTATAGAAATTTGGTAAGGTTAGGGGTGGGGCATGTGGGGAGGGTTAATATTGCAGTGAGACAACAAAAAGGGCGAAATTATTTTTAAAATACTATAGTTAGGGCTACGACACTTGTGGAACACGTTTCAAAATCTGACAACTTTGAGTCTGTAAAAAAATAGACGCCTGCCGAAAATGTGTTAATAAGTCATTTTAAATCTGTCTGATCCATGCCTTGCTGTCTTTAGGACATAGCATATGCCAATAGTTTAAACTCTACTGTGAATGAATTTTACTGTGAGAAACTATATAGACGTGTTTAGTGCAGGGGCGTGCAACCTTTCGGCCACATGTGCCCCCCCTCCCCCCCCCCCTTCCGAGCCGTTAAATCCGGTCCTCAAAACAACCAGGGAACTTGGAAAATGTTTTCGTAAAAAGTACGAATTTTGAATAATGGGATGTTAAAGCCTTTAAAAGTTAACAAACTGTGAAATTGTTAAATTGCAAAATAATAACAATATACAATTTTTTTTAAAAACTACTGATTATCGAACCGCAATAGGAAAAGAATTGTTTGTGTCCATCTTCTATGCCGGACATCACAAATTGTCATTAAAAGATCATAAGGTCCGCCTAAAAAAAATGATAATTTTCTTGTGGCCCTCTGCGCAAAAATTGACCACCTCTGGTACAGTGTAACAAAAGAAACAAGAGCTATGAAATATCTGTATTGACCACCTCTGGTACAGTGTAACAAAAGAAACAAGAGCTATGATATATCTGTATTGACCACCTCTGGTACAGTGTAACAAAAGAAACAAGAGCTGTGATATATCTGTCCTAATTCCTATCTAAAACAATGATATAGCGAGTGTGTTATCCAACCTAAATTTCAGGGAACCGCTGACGATGACACTCGCTTGACGGGGTGCAGTTTATGTGGTAATGTTACGGGGTGTATCAACTAAACTTGATATATTTCCATCACTTCTCCAACAACCGCTCTCTCTTCATGCACGCCTTAACGTTCCACCAACCGCTCCGGACATGTCTCTCTTCATGCACGTCTTAACGCTCCACCAACTGCTCCAACAACCGCTCCAGACGTGTCTCTCTTCATGCACGTCTTAACGCTCCACCAACTGCTCCAGACGTGTCACTCTTCATGCACGTCTTAACGCTCCACCAACTGCTCCAGACGTGTCTCTCTTCATGCACGTCTTAACGCTCCACCAACTGCTCCAGACGTGTCTCTCTTCATGCACGTCTTAACGCTCCACCAACTGCTCCAGACGTGTCTCTCTTCATGCACGTCTTAACGCTCCACCAACCGCTTCACCATTCGCTTCACCAACCGCTCCACCAACCGCTCCACCAACCATCTGCATCCCCTCAACTTTTTTTTTAATGCTCTCTCCACCTACGAACTGTTTAAACACCTACGAACTGTTTGAACACATACAAACTGTTTTAACCCTACGAAATGTTTGAACACCTACTACGAACTGTTTTAACACCTACGAACTGTTTGAACACCTACGAACTGTTTAAACACCTACGAACTGTTTAAACACCTACGAACTGTTTAAACACCTACGAACTGTTTGACTATATTTTTCGCGCACCCTCGCTGAATAGCCCTTGAAACCAGAGAAGTATCCTCTTCAATACCAGGCACAAAAACTTAGCGAATCCCCTCTGCATAAATAGGATTCAGAATGATCAATGCATTGTTCATGAACCCTTAAGATATAGAAGAAGAAGAATTATTATTCAAAATTGACATTAGTTGAAAAAAATGATTATTCCCCAAAGTCATAGTGGTAGATGAGATGCGCTGTTATTTGAGTTGGAAGGTCCGTTTATACTGATTGTAAAATTATAGCAATGAAAGCATTATGGAAACATTTTTTCCTGAGCAGGTGGCGTAATATCGCCATTAGAATCAGATGCTAACAGCAAGTACTCGTCATAGCCCCGTCCTTACGCTCATACACTCTCGGCTGTGCCACCGCCATTGTCACAGGGCAATCCATCATGTGGCTTGTACGAGGGCAGACATCCCGAAGAGACTATTCAAACGGATTACTCTATAAGCAGCTTCCTGATCAAGCATTTTGTATTTCCTCCCTTTGCCTTCGGGCGTGGTTTGCCGTCAGGATCCACATGTGGCGTGTGGCGCACTTTGGGAGGAAATTGTTGGACAGAATTTTAAGTAACAAAGTAAATTGCACTTTAAACCAAAAGTTCCGATACAGAATCTTTTCTTTACTGTAATACTTTTAAAATGCAGATCCCGAATTGTTGATATAATTTTGAGGAGAAAATAGGATATTCATGAAGTTCTAAAATTAGTTTTTCATTTTGAATTGTTTTATTAGTCTCATTGAATATGTGTGAAATGCACATTGAAAAACTTCAAAAGGCTGTGAGGAAATAGAATGTAATGTGTCCAGAACACATATAACAAGGAAACAAATGACAAAGAGAGTCTTCAGCAACAATTGGTCCAGAAGACTTACGCATACACACAAGGATAAATGTCAAAGAAAGTCGAAATATCAAGGCCATCTAACTCGGTGCCACTTCCTGTTTCTCTAACCAAAAAACACAATTGTTCTCCTCAACATTTGTATTGTGGCTATAGTGCTGTAGTGTACCAGGTTAGCTCAAGAACGGATTTGAAATAAATTACTTTTAAGTGTGATGATTATAAATAAATGACTTTTAAGTATGATGATTATAAATGAATGACTTCAATTGTGATGATCACAAATAAATAATTTCAAGTGTGAGGATTATAAATGAATGACTTTATTTTGACGGTATGGTCAAATGATTAATTTTTTTTCCAAATAGCAATTTAACATGTTATTGTACTTGAGATTTGATAAACCCAGCATTTAAAGATAAGTAGTCAAGTGTGTACATTTAAAGCACAAGTAATCAATTGTAGAGCTTTTTTCCAAAAATGGGTTGAGTCCAAATATCAAGACTATAGTAGTGTCAAATCTCGCATTAAATTTTGGGTCTATTTATATAAAAACGGATGTCTTCTTGATAATTTTTATATTTGATTTTTTATTTAATTTTTTTAATTTCTGAAAATACAAAAGTATAATTTCTACTGTAGGTTTGATTGGCTAATGAAAATTGCTCTTAAATGTGGTTATTATGGAGGCGGGTAGTTGGTTGGTTCGCATAGAGCTAGGTCTAATAAAATTTGAGAATTCCTTTTTTTTTTTTAAAGAATAAAATCCAATAATGAGTTTCAATGTTCACGTTAACGCAAATAAATTACTCATTTACTAGGAAGAGAGAAAAAAAAACATAAAAAATAATTTGAGTCATTCAACATTTAAGTGTTACTCTGTATACAGTAATCTTATTTTCAGTTGCGTTAGGGGTCTAATAAATATTATCCTATTAGATTATTGCACAATCCCATAAATTTAAAAAAAAAATATTTATTAATATTCACCAGCCGTTTTAAAGTCCGGCCAACAGCACTGCATGTTCTACGCAGTTATACCACTGTCTGTTATTCATCATGAGAGCACTGTTATTCGGTATGAAAGCACTACTATTTGACATGAGAGCACTGTTATTCGACATGAGAGCACTGTTATTCGGTATGAAAGCAATACTATTTGACATGAGAGCACTGTTATTCGACATGAGAGCACTGCTATTTGACATGAGAGGACTGTTTGGTATTTGACATGAGAGCCCTGTTTATTTGATATGAGAGCACTGTTTGTTACTTGACACGAGAGCCCTGTTTGTGATTTGACACGAGTGTCCTGTTTGTTATTGGACACGAGAGCCCTGTTTACTTGACACGAGAGCCCCTGTTTATTTGACACGAGAGCCCCTGTTTATTTGACACGAGAGCCCTGTTTACTTGACACGAGAGCCCCTGTTTATTTGACACGAGAGCCCTGTTTACTTGACACGAGAGCCCCTGTTTATTTGACACGAGAGCATTGTTGGTTATTTCAATCACAGTGCCGTGTTCTCCACATCACAGTATTATTCCACTAGTTCGTGACTAGACAACTGCTTATATGTTTCCATTTAGACTGGTTGAAAATGTCAAGTGATATGGCTATAAATATAAACGGTCATCAATATAAAATTACAGACGCCCTAAAAACAAA